CGATGCCGGCTGTGCAATTAGAAAGATCGATCGGAACCTTGGACGTTCCGTTTGGATGAGTTCGGGTAATAAAGATAATAGGAAATAATAGCTAGGCAGGATGTAACGATTGGAGATAAAAAGGATCCAAGCGATAGTGAGAAGTTTAAACGTCAATACGAATTAAGGTCGTAGTCAACCATACAAAATGATTTCATAAAGAACACGCTGCGAATCTTTATGGAAAAAAATTCTATGCTTGCCAATTAAATTGCGAATCCGCGTCTCATTTTATAAGTGAATTTACGACATGGATGCTTCGGTATGACTCGTTTCACCAAGTAGCACTTGTCAAAACGTAATCAATCAACAACAGGCGGATAATTTTAAGTGAAATTTCTTCTTGACTCGTTGTAACATGATTCTAAAATTGTCCAAACTTTCACGATAGTGCAGATTGCGTAAGGCCGTCAACTTTTTTGTTCGACGTAGACAAAATTGAAAGAAGGCTTGCGCAATGATAATTACTTTCAATTTGGAAGTATATCCACGACTGTTATTTGCATAACGTCCGGTTTCTGTCCTCAACCGTTTTGCTGTCGAAAACAATCACTTGTCATGAAAACTCGAATCGATATTCGTACAGAGTATCATTTGCACATTTAACATTCGATAAGGTGAAGTAGAAAAATAAATAGAACGGCTTATCAAGAAATTTATAAGTTTCAAGGAACTGCAAATTTTCCTTGAAATAATGTACCGCAGTAAAAAGTAATAGGTCAGTAATTTCCTGAATAGGAAAACATACAAGTCATTTTTTCGTTCTCATTTTCCACTCCAGTTTCGTCGTCCGAACTTTCCGTAGATTTTTATATAACATTTAATCGTGTAATCGAGTCATGTTCGTCTTAAAATTTACACGGGCCGACGGTTTTTTCCTGGCCAGGCAATTATGTCGGACGTTTGTACGAAAACCCTGTGCCGGGTACGTGACGAATCGTTTACGCGCTTTTACGCATGCCAATCGCTCGCATAATCTACAATTACTAGGTAACGCGTGAATCCGAAGATCGACATTGTTTCGGAAACTAGGAAATCCTTTCTCTCGTTCTTAATTCTGTCCGTCTTCTCCGCCTCTCCTCCTTCGTTTTCACGTCTCTCTCCGTAATCCGTTCGAAGTGTCGTTTCAATTCTGTTAAATTACCGACGACGTTAATTGAAAATGAAAGAAGCTTCGTTTCAACAAAATTTTATCTCTACAACTATGACCCCTGGGATATTGAGAAACACATTTTTCTCTTAATGGTCCCTCAACAACGGATGCCCGAACGATGACGCTGTCACTTTCTCCGTTGTAACTATTTTTCACTTTCAACGTGCGTACGAGTGATAGAACATTTCTCCGCCTCGTTAACTACCGATCTATTCGAATTTGTCCACGGCAATGGTCTCGCGCTACCAAGTCAGATCACAATTTATTTTATCGAGGCGTTCGATAATAAGAACATTCATTAATAAATTGTCATCTACTTTTTTAAAAATTAATATCCCACTTGCTACTTCGTGTCAATATAAAAATTGCTGTACCACTGCAATTGTGAAAATTGCAATCTCATTTAAATTCGAGTATTGCTGTAAAAAACGTGTACAGGATTTCACTGTTTTATTAAAGGTAATTGAGACGTGACTTTGACCAGAAGTAATTCAAGTCCATTATTCATTTCGATTTTCTTTATGAACGAAAAAGAAAATGAGCAGCGTCGTTGATTTATCACGAAATTCCATGGAATTGTCAACGAAATGATTAGTCGTAGGCTGATATTCAAAGTCGTTGCTTATTCTTAAGATCGTCTTAAGCATTTGCTATCCCTGTCTATCCCATATTTCCAGTTTCTATCTTGTACAGGAAATAGGGACTTAAGCAAATGCTCTTATGGCGATCTTAAATATGAATACCTCGGTTTATCTTCGTCCTTGTCAACCGCGGTCATTGGATTGAAACATGTCTTTTTTCCTTATCTGAATAATTCACTGTGCACAATAATTAGTAATATTTTTGTCCTACAATCTAAATTATTGAAGCCCGAATAATTAGTATTCCGCAGCGCTTTTCCGGTAAGATAAAACTAAGGCGAGTGATTGGACTTCAAAACTAGATGTACATTTCAGGTTCGCGCGATTTGTATAATAATCACTCTTATGCTGATGTTCACCCACGCGATTGGTCAGCTGTTTGCATTCAATTAAAACCCAACTACGTAAAACGCAGACGTAACTTGTATTTTATGCTCGATGTTATTTTATATTCGATGTTACATTATGTAGTCCGTCAGTGACTGTAAATCATTTTATCATAGAATGCACTTAGTTTTGTAACGACGGTCAAACTTGCGTTTGAGTGTATCGCAAGTACTCCGTCAAATTTTGATATTTACACGACACCTAATGATGGAATGTAAGGAAGCCTGGCGCACGTAGATCGACGTTTTACAATTACAATACCGACGACGCGTGTAACACGTTACACAATCTTCTTACGAAGTCATGAAGCCGCGCCGTTGTTGGAGTCTCATTGTCAGTCACGAACATCCTTCGTCGCATCGTTTCGGAATGCGATCCTTCCTTCCTATTTCGACAACTCGACTTTCTTCAAGGATTTACCCTGATCTCCCATTCGTCTTTGTCAAACAGTAGCTCAAAGTGAAAAGCACGTTTTGCATTTTTTTGCACAATTCTAGAATCCTTTCTCAATTATCGTATTAAATCTTTTGTTTATATTATTATATATTTAGTTTTATAGTTTTATATTATATCATTATACCAATTATTGAATCATTGTATTAATTCTCATTATAAACGATCTACTGATTGAACTTACTATTGATAACTTAGATAAATAATCAGTGAATCAGTTTTAAGGTGGAATTTCAAAAATCCTGGAGAAAGGAGAGAAAATTTGGTAAATAAGAATGTTTGACGGGCAGTGAATCATCCTGATCGTTGCATCAATGGATTTCGTGTCTAGGTCCACATTCCGGAGCGTTGGCACAGAAACCAGCCGGTGCCTGTTTTCCATACATTTCCGAACCGTGTATGATTACATCAATGCCGAGATCGGACGGGTTCTTCTGGTTTCTTAATTTTCAGAATCTACCGCAAACTTGACCTCCGCTCGGTTTCACGCAGATTATTTATACAGATGTAGAACCCGAATCCGACCGATCACGATCATCGATCATTACCTTCGTCGTCAATTTGTCGCTTTAATTAACAAGCAGAAATATGATTTACAAGATTTTTATCGAACATAATTTTAACCCTTCGTGATTAATATGTAGTTCAAAGATTCTAAATTCCTACCAATTAAACAATTATTATTACAAAATGTACTGAAAATATCGAAAAATAAAGTCAAACACTGTTTTTGTATGCGGCATAATTTAAGGATGTATTGACTATACAGTCAATCCCAAAAGTTTATGTGCCTTAGAAAAACGCATTTCCTATAATTAAAAAGAAATCAGACGTCGGAAGAATAATGCTAACAATAAATAGCTACGTGCTAAAAAGTATNAATAAAAGTTGTAGGTGATACTATTACCTACGAAAAATTTAAAATCACTATAATTTTAGATTTTTAATCGTAATAGGAATCTATAATAACAAATTCAACATGCTATCATTGTTTAAGTATATACCTAAGCCTGCTGGTTATTTCGAATTATATTAAGAAGAATGCGAGAGTGTAATTAACTATCTCAACTATTGAGTCGAGATGTTGAATAAAAATTAAGCGGCTTACAAGAACCGTTTGGGGGCAGTGTTAAATATCGGTAAAACCAGTTAGACGACGTACTGTATAACTGTATTTTGCATTTCATTTGTGAAAGCGACACTCGTTTCTATTTCTTTTTTTTTCAATATCTTTGAATACACATGTACGGAAACCCTGAAAGCTAGACTGTAACGGGTTTGTAATTCGGTAATCGAGTATAACGGGAAACAAAGTGTGTAACGATGTCCAGGACGCAGTATTTATACTCGTCTAACATGCTGATGAGCCCAGTGACAAGACCATGCGAGGGGTAACAAGCAATTATTAGTAAAGCCACTCGAGCGTACGGGATTAACAAGAAATCGATAATAATCGCGATTGCGGCAACCGATTGTCGGCAGACCGATTGGCACACAATTAGGAAACCTCGAGTGGAGGTTTAATCAGCCCTCCCATATCTAGTCAAACTGCTGATAATGATGGCAGATAAGAGGAGATCGACGCTTTGAATGTTTAGTGTTCCATTGACTCCAACTCGAGCAACAATGGGGCGGTTAACTCTGTTCTTACTGACACTTTGCTTTAGCTCAATCCTTGGTATGTACTAAAGAAATCTATTTTCATAAAAAAATTAAACTCGATCGTGTTACCAATTAAAATCGTTACAGCTTGAGTAAGAGATTTTATTTTTAAGAGTTAAGAGATTTTAAGACGAACTTCTACAAATAACTATGCGAAAGGCATGTATTTTCAACTCGTGAACTTTTCATACCCTTGTTTGTTCTGTCGTATTCTAAAACTCAGCAAATATGCGTAAGCATCCGACTTATGAGTCAGTAGAGCTACCCGTCTTCGTGCCACTAACTCCACACCCAGTGATCATTACACTGAGGAAGGAATCTCTCACAGTGAAATTCTCTTCGCTAATAATAATCGGAATCTCTTTTATCACTACTGTTAATTTATTTTAACATGAGACGCGATGACCGAGAATATTTGTAGACGGCAAACTTTATTTTCTCCATTAAAATATGTTTATATAGAAATAATAATTAGACTGCGGATTTATAGGAGAGAATGTAACATAAAAAATAATAGTCATCATTATTTTGGAAAGGATTTCGATTTCCTTTCTTAGACTGACGTCAAGAATGTACTTTGCATAAACATCCGCAGTCTAATAACGATTATGACACGATTGAATACTCAGAATGATTTCTGAGCAAACACCGTTTTCACTCTTCAGCGAAAAAAGGATTCGGTCCCGGCGAACAGGAATGGGGATTCGTGAAAGTGGGCCCCAATTCGCATATGTTCTGGTGGCTTTATTATACAACCGCGAACGTATCTTCTTACTTTGAAAAGCCGCTGGTCATCTGGCTGCAGGGAGGACCTGGCGCTTCCTCCACTTCCTACGGAAACTTCGAGGAAATCGGCCCGTTGGACGCTGACTTGAAACCCAGAGACTACACGTGGGTACGAAACAGATTAATTAAACACAGTTTCACAGTCACAGATTTTTATGATTAAATTAGAGTATCAATGCGCTCAATTATATTTTTATTATATATAATATCTTCGTATGAAATATATCTAAAAACAATTGAAACAAAAGAATATGCAAAAGTTTTTCGAATACTTTGCATTCCGGATGAAATATACAAAAATATTAAAACTGATGACAACCGGTTTTTGCTCAAAGCCTCTAATCGATCTTCCTCGTGTACGTATCTATCATACAGTTTTACAAGATTACACGTGTCTTATCATGTTTCTCGTAAACGAGGCGATATCATCGAAGATAGATGCGCCTGCGGTTCTTAATCTGCAGAATTAATTTCTCCAGTTTTACATACTTTTTTCTCCTGAATCTTAAAATTCAGTATGAAGCATAAATAAAATATTTCAAGGTGAAAGACTACAATGTCCTGTTCATCGATAACCCCGTCGGAACGGGCTTCAGTTATACCACTTCCCCGAGTGGATACGCGACGACGAACAAGAAGATCGCGGAAGATCTTTTAGAGTGTATCAGAAGTTTCCTGAAAGAACTGCCAGGCTTTGCTAATGTGCCTACGTACATCACGACCGAGTCTTATGGAGGGAAAATGGGAGCCGAGTTTGCTCTTGTTTGGTACAAGGTAATTTATTTTAATTTTTATAACGATTAATAACAAGAGGCGATTCGTTTGATTGATACTTGGTTTCTTTAATATTAGGCGCAACAAGAAGGGAGCATTAAGAGTAAATTGAAGGGTGTCGCCCTCGGGGACGCTTGGATCTCCCCTGTTGACTCTGTAATGACTTGGGCGCCCTTCTTACTGGAAACGGTACGACGAGCAGCTATGTTTTTACAGCGTAACGATATACCAAGAAAAATATTTTTTTATTTCAGGGCATGGTAGACACCGATGGCTTCGAGAAAATCGACCAATCGGCGAAGGAAACGAAATCGTTGGTAGACGCTGGGAAGTGGAATTTAGCCACCAGTATGTGGAGCAGAACCGAATCGGTGATTCTTCGAGTCACCAAAAATATTGATTTCTATAATATACTGACGAAAGTGGGATCCTATTCCCGAGACTATTCAGAGAAACTTGCAGCAGAACCCACGTTTTCACGTGGTAAACATTTATTTCGAATAAAATAAGAACATTTCTGTTTTTTTTTATGTTACAATTAATATATTTTATTGAAATATTTCAGTATATTCTGCCTACAGCGACGCTTCTTTGGCATCTCTGATGAACGGACGCGTGAAGGAAGCTCTTGGAATACCAAAATCTGTGCAACATGGTGCTCAATCTGACATGGTATTCAGTAAATTGCAAGGAGACTTCATGAAACCTGTTATTAATATAGGTATTGCTCGAAGTGAAAGATACACGATATTTATTTGAATAATTTTATTGATTTTTCAATATTTTTTAGTGGAGAGTTTGTTGAACGAAACGGGCCTGAAAGTCGCGGTAATCAGCGGTCATATGGACCTCATCGTGGACACGCCAGGTACGTACACATTGAAAATAAAATTTATTCACCTAACAAGATTTTTACAGAAAAAACAATTTCCGAAAAGTGCAGTTAAATTATACGGTACTTACCCAATTTTGCAATCCTATAATTTATGTTCGCAGGCACTCTTCGTTGGGTTGAGAAGATGAAGTGGAAGGACGCCGTTTCCTGGCACAAAAAGGACAGGATTCCATTACTGGCGAACAGTATTATCGAAGGCTACGCGAAGTCCTACGGGAACTTCTCAATGTATTGGGTCAACAGAGCTGGACACATGGTAAGTGAAAAGGACTTTTCCATAACGATTTTATTTGTTAATTAATGACAATTCTGCAGGTACCAAAGGACAATCCGGCCGCGATGGCACAGATATTGAAAGAAATTACTAAGTAACAAATTCGAAAATGTATTCTTGACTACATTCTAAGCATCTTAAACAGGTAACTCCAATCTCCTTTGCCAATAATAAGACCTTTTGATTATCATATCTTGTTGTTTTCTCGCACTGATATTTTCATTCCTACTTCGCAAGGTACAAACCGAATCTAACGTTCTAAATATACTTCGACTTTTAAACATCATATTCTCGGAATTTTCGATTTTCTGATTTTTGCCAATTCCAAGATTGGATAGTTTTTTACGCATTCAGATCGGGCAACCGCAAAAGTCGTTCCTCTTCATCGGTGAAAATCGCAAGCGGTCTTGTTTGCGGCTCGTCCCGTTTTACTGCCTCGTATCTAAACAATCGTACCTTATTGACAAAATTGCCGGACGGCTGCAGATTCGGATTGTTGCTTCTGCGACGTTTTACGACTGTGGGAAAATTCACATAGCGCAGGAACCTTCAGTAAACCTTGGGGCGCAGCGGGCGGATCGCAAAAAAATAAACGAACCCTCGAATTCTCTTAGAATTAGTAATAGGATCTATTAGATATACCGCACGTCTAATTAACCATAGATGTCAATTTTTAATTACTGCTTATTACAATTTTAATACTATTAATATTACATTTTATTATTATTACAATTTTTAATAACCATTCAGTAAGCTTGATTGTGAATCAAAAATGAAGTTACTGACACGCGAGTTGGAAATTATTTTTACCACGTGTTCCACAGTCTCCGTGAATGTTTTTCTTACTGAATGATTTAAGAAAGAGGGATTAGCGGCGAAGACAATTCTGGGTGTTTTTTAAAGAACATTCCGAGGTACTCGCAGCTAATCCGGCAGTTCCTTCCGCCGTCAGTTCTACGGTGATTTGTTTCTTAATATTTCAAGACGGAACTCGAAGGACGGTACCAGAAACGGCGAACAAACAAATAACGTTTCCTACCCTCGATCTCTTCATCTTCAGAAGCTGCGGCTCCTTTCATTCCAAAACATGATTAATAGAAACAGTTTCCAGTTTTTGACTGTACACAGTTTTTAAACAAATTTTATGCACTTGCATGCGGTTTGATCTAGTAATTAATTTAAGGAAAGAATATTTATTTTTACCCAAGGGAAACATCAGTCGTAAATATATAGAATTTTATTTAGCAATTAATTTAAGAAGGGGACGTTTGTTTTTACCCAAGGGAAATGTAATATTAAATTAGCTGGGGCAAACAGTGTGATTAATTCCTAATCGAAAATAATATAAATTGCGATTCGCATTTCTAAGTCAAAGTCAGGCCGCCAGAACTCCGAGAGAGGGTGGCTAGGCAAAGAGGAGAAGACAAGAACGGTTCCGAGAAGCGGTACGGTTTCGGTATAATTACCGCAACTTTGTTTACGTATCGGCTCGTTTACTGCCGGCGTGGGTGTTGGGACAGCATATGTGTAAACAGCAATAAAACACGGGTCCTGGATAGGTAACCCACGCCTCCCTCGCGCTCGGAAGTTGAACGCGCGAACGACGTTTCTCCGGGAAGCCAGCAATGGGCGGAGCTGGGCCATCCTCTGGTTCGCCGTGTCAAATTAAACACCCTTCGTTAGAGAATTAGTCTAACAAACCGCGAATCGCAGTCAGCTCCCAGACGCCTAGAGTTCAAGGCGGTTCCGTGCCTCTCAATGAACTGCATATTACAATTTTATATGCACTGCAAAATCAGTTATATAAAATATAACATAAAGTTATTTAAGTGATTGTTCATTTAAATGAATAATAAAATTGTGAAGTGAGAAAACAAGAAAATTGTTAGTGATTTATTCGGATAATGTTGAGGACCGATCCTGGCAAAGAGAAGAAGAATATGAAGTTATTTCAAATTATTGATCATCCAAATAAATCCGCAGAGATCTAATAGTCCCAATAGGAAAGATAATTTATCAATGGAGCCTAATAACTGTCAAAGTCATTCCTGTACAATGTCCAAAGTCTATGCTTACGATCTCCATAGAAGTTACGAATTTTGGAGCACAGATGAGATGATCCCCACTATGTGCCCTCTGCCAAGTCACTACACAGTGGTACCAGAGCAGAACTTGCCTTTGAACCTCCAATGGGACCTCCCGCTGATTAGATACAAGCCTCAACCGCGTTACGAGAAACCACCGTACTCTTACATCGCTTTAATAGCCATGGCTATTAATTCTTCGCCTAAGCAGAGGCTCACCCTCTCCGGCATCTACAGATTCATTATGGATAAATTCCCTTATTATCGGGAGAACAGACAGGGGTGGCAAAATAGTATAAGACACAATTTGAGTCTGAACGATTGCTTCGTCAAGGTGCCGAGAGATAAAGTGATCGGCAGTGATAACGAGGAAGATCAGGCTGGTAAAGGAAGCTATTGGACTTTGGATGCTTCGGCCAATGAAATGTTTGAGCATGGAAATTATAGGAGACGAAGAATGAGAAGGCATCGGCAGGAGAAACAGGAGCAAGATAGGACAGTCTCGGTATCTTCTTGTTTCTATCGAAGAGAAGACGTGTGTTAGGACGATTTAACTTTATTCTATGTTACTCTAGGTTTCATCCGAGGTCTCGTCAAAATCGACCGAGACGAAAGACACCGAAGAGAACGTGAAATACATCGGAAGTCAAGGGCATTGCTTGAAATCGATGATGTTCACGATTGAGAATATCCTACGAAAATCATCTACTGAATCTTCTATTTAACTGTTTTAGTGTGAACTGAAATATATAAAAGATCACGTTATTGAAAATAATTCGTTCCAGTGCAAATGAATACTGTTTGTTTATTATAAAAATGTTCTCGTGATAGATTTTAATTATACATTCGATATTCCATATAAAGTCCTATTTAATTATTTGATTAACCTAATGTATAATACATTATATACAAAATTATAGATTGAGGAAGACATCGGTTGTAAAAATTATTCTTATAATCTTGTGCCGTCAGGCTTAGGCTTATAACATGTGAACTGATAACATTTAGTGTCAACATTAGATATTAGTCATTCCTCTAATAGATATACATGTTACGCCATATCAGATGTTAAAGAAAAATGGTTTCTCATTAACACCACAAGTAGCGTGAGGCTTACAATAGAGTTGGCCCAAACCTGAGTCAAGGATATAAAAAAATGAATAAATATTTGTTTAAACATTACCGTCTCACAGAGACATAGAATGTATTTTGGAAATGCAATGGTTCGTGATAGATATGAAATGTGATCTTAAGCATTAGGATTTTTCCTCATTAATTCCAAATCGGAGTCCATCATATCTTTCACCAGATCCTGAAACGATGTCTTTTGTTATTTTAAGTTAATAATAGGGGAATCATTCAATAAAAGATTTTTATATGTACCTCGAAACTAACAGTAGGTTTCCAACCAAATTTTTCCCTTGCCTTGGTCGCATCACCCAAGAGTACATCCTATAAAGAGAAATAAAAATATTTAACACCTACATATATATATAAGATGAAAGAAATAAAAACATCAAACATCATCTGTTAAAAAAATCGATACTTACTACTTCCGTTGGGCGAAAGTATTTCGAATTTACTTTAACTAACAGTTGTCCTGTTTCTGCATCTTGCCCTATCTCATTCACACCTTCGCCTGTCCATTTAATAGTACGACCCACGTATCGGAATGCCGCTTCCACAAAATCACGAACGCTGTGCGTCTCTCCTGTTGCTATAACGTAATCATCCGGAGTTGGTTGTTGCAGCATCAGCCACATAGCCTGTTTATACATCGCAAGGCTATCAATATGCTTCCAGATGCACGAGAAACGAATCTTTTACCTCGACGTAATCCTTCGCATGTCCCCAATCTCGCTTAGCATCCAAGTTTCCTAGTTCAAGCACATCTTGCAAGTCTAAATGTATCTTTGCTATCGATCTGGTCACTTTTCTCGTAACAAAATTCTCTCCTCTGCGAGGACTCTCGTGATTAAACAATATACCATTACAGGCAAACATATTGTACGCTTCTCTGTAGTTCACGACAATCCAGAAACTGTACAATTTAGCACAGGCTGAAATTTGAATAAATTAATATCATTTGAAGACTCATGAGCTCGATTAAAAATGATCTAATCACCGTAAGGAGAACGGGGATAAAATGGTGTTTTCTCGTTTTGAGGCACTTGAGTTACTCTCCCGTAGAGTTCGGACGTAGATGCATGGTAAAATTTCACAGACTTTTCGAGGCCACACGTACGTATCGCGTCCAACAATCTGACTGTTCCAACTGCATCCACTTCCGCAGTATATTCGCTTACCTCGAAACTCACCTGTGAAAAAGCAATGCATAAGGAAATATGCAAATATCGATTGGCTTAGAATCGCACAAAACTCTGCATACCATCACATGACTTTGGGCAGCGAGATTATAAATTTCCGTCGGTTGTACAGAACTGATTACTTTAATTAAACTACTGGAATCCGTCATATCGCCGTAATGCAATTTCATTTTGCCCTGACGATGACATTTTGGGTCTGCATAAAGGTGTTGAATTCGAGCTGTGTTAAAAGAGCTAGCTCGCCTAATTATCCCATGTACATCATATCCTTTCTCTAATAAAAATTCTGCTAAATAGGAACCATCCTAGAAATGAATAATACAAATATTATATTACGATGTCACGATTTGCACAGTTTGTACTAGGAATCAGTAGATGACATAAAATATCTCTCCCTTTAGAGAACAAAATACACAAATAAACAAAGTGATAATTGTCAAACTTACTTGTCCGGTAATACCCGTAATTAAAGCGACTCGTCTCTCGTCCCCAGATGCCATTTCGATTTACCTTTCGAAAATCGTCTTGCTTCTTTCGAATCTCGTTGAAACCTGCCAACTGGCTTCAATCAACGTTATCAGTGCTGATAAGACACAACGCCGAGAACTCATTCGTGTGTAACACATTCAACTGACATAAAAACCCAATATGATTTTGAACTCATTCTAAGCACAAAATAAACGAGATAAGAATAATTAACATTCCATTTTAGACTCGGTCCGGCCTGAATCAATAGTCCACTCACAATTAACAATTATTTACTTTCATACGCATATTCGGAACACTCGACTTCACAGATTTTTGAGAGTGGGAGAGATGACAAACTGGCTGATCGATCGTTCGTGTAAAGATCGTGTATGTATGTTTAGGTTGGTTTAGGTGAATGAGGGAAGCGCTTTTACTGCACCGCAAAGTGTATTGTCATTCGGTTTGAGAAGTGTTCGAGATCGGTTTTTTGAATAATTATTAGACGAAATGGCTCTCCTGGGAAGATCATTGCCCGATTACGAGACGGAGACTGCGAAAATGAAAAGTTTCAGCCCATACGCCGATAACGGAGGGTAGGTTTCAAACGATAACCTAAAATCATTTTAATGTTCAACTCACACAAATTCAAATATATTTACACTATCGTAAATATATTATTTTACGTTTACACTATAACGATTTCCAATTGTATGCAGTCTTACAAGTTCATTTTTACTATTGTCATTACAGGAGTGTCATTGCTCTCGCCGGAGATGATTTTTGTGTACTGGCAGCAGACACTCGCCTGAGTGCAGGCTTTTCTATTTACACGCGTGAACAGCAGAAATTATTTCCTCTATCAAACAAAACTGTTCTGGGATGTTCAGGTTGCTGGTGTGACACGCTTACCTTGACCAGATTATTGACTGCTAGAATGCAGGTAAGATTGTTCTAAAAACGTTTATAAAGTTCCATTCAATAGAAAAATATAACAACCTCCTTGTGCTTGCAACAGATGTATGAGCATGAGCATCAGAAAGAAATGCCAACACCAGCAATCGCACAAATGTTGTCAACAATGCTTTATTATAAACGTTTCTTCCCTTATTATGTCAGTAATATTGTCGGTGGATTAGATGAAGAGGGCAAGGGATGTGTATACAGTTATGATCCGATTGGTCATTGTGAAGTAACAAAATACAGAGCAGCTGGTTCTTCTGGTGCCTTGTTGCAGCCTCTTCTTGATAATCAGGTATTAAAGTTCGTTGGAGAATGATATGTAATTATATCATAGCTGATAGAACATAATTTGGTTTAGATCGGATTAAAAAATCAAGAAAATGTTGAGCCTACTTCTTTGACACGAGAAAGAGCTGTAGCAATTATAAAGGATGTGTTTACATCGGCAGCGGAGAGGGATATTTACACTGGTGACTCAATAACTATTAAAGTCATAACAGCAGACGGTATAGAGGATTCTACTTTTGGCTTGAGGAAAGATTAATGATAAAAGGAAAGGATTAAAAATGTATTTTCATTTCTCTGTATGAATAAAGTTTACACTAAACAGTATAATTTATTTTTATTTAATAACTTTTCTTATTTTTATATACAACTACTGTGATTCATATTATTATACATCACAATGAATGATGTATATGTGTGTGTATAAATGCTATCAAACTATTCATTATGCATACACATATAGACCTGTTTACCTCTATTTGCATTAATACTACTTTATTTACCCTACATTAACCGAATTTTTTTTTAGAAAAGAAAAAGAAAAAAAGAAAATCCACAATTATATATCACAATAATAATTTCCAGTTACGCAATAGTACATATAAATAATCGAGTGCTTTGCACCTTGACAGAGACTGAACACAAGTTTTATCAAAATTAAATAGAAACGTGCTTCTTGTATTTTATACATAAACGCATACTATAACAACCTATTGTATGATGTACAGTAATATATATTTAATAAAATAACATATTTTTATTGTAAAGTAACCAAAAGGGTAAAAAGGGTGGGAGGTTCTTGGCCCTAAAGTCGTTTCTTGCAATTCTGTTTAGGGAACAATATATAAAGGTAAGAAGTGGAGAATCTTCTGGCCGAGGTTCACTTTTTATTTCCTGGCATCGATAAAGGTTTCCCACGATCTTTACCGCGCAATTTTATCCCCAACACTCGCTCGATTTTTCCGATCACCATTTGATTTGGAATTCCTCTACCTGCTTCGTAATCGTTGATGACTTGTGCTTTTTCATTTACTTTCTATATAATGATAGAATGTACTTAGATATTGTAGATATGAGCTCTTTCATAGTTCAGATAATAATTACGTACTGTCGCAAGGTCTTTCTGAGATAATCCTTTACTTTGCCTGCCTTGTTGAATTAATTTGCCAAGATCAAGTGGGATTTTGTCATGTTTCAGTTCTTCCGTTTCCCTGTCTAATTTAGCTGTATTTTTAGTTGCCACATGTTGTTTGTTTGTACCTCCACCCCCTACGTAATAAAAAGTAATATAACATTTTTATAATTTTCATACCTACAAAAATATTTAATATCAATTTATTTGAATATAGAAGATAACAGTATGTATGATCATGCTGGCTCATATTACATCACGTTATTGTCGAAACACATGCGTTACGTTTGTCAGTGAAAAATTTTTACGAAACAAGAATGAAACATCAATAAAATAGATCGAGGAACTTCGGCGGTGTTTACGTACATTTCGCTTGTGTTTCGATCGCAAATCCTTGACGACGTGCCGCATTAACCGCCTGTAAATAAACACAATTACACAACAGTGGTAGCTGCGAGGACAATCACAGACAGAATAAGTGGAAATACTTGTCCACTTATGTTACCTGTTCAGATTTAAGTACGGAGGCTTTTGGGGGACGCTTTCGCAGAGTTATAGGAGCGGTATCCCAGTCTGACATATCGGAAAAAATTAAATACGCCGACACGGGAATTAAAAATTGTATTTATCAACGTCGCACTTTTAATATGCAGTAACTATGTACCAATGACTACTGTCCCGCTGTCGTACTTGCTGTACTTGCGCTGCTACGAATCTTCCAGTAACTTCGCACCACGTTCCAAAATGCACTACTTAACGTACGGCCTGATATACGGCCCCAGAATCGACCAACGCGTTAAACAGTGAAACTGTCCAGCTTTTCCCGCAAATTATTTCAACTATTCGTTAACGATTCTGTCATTCATCGTCTGCAATCTCATCCTTATAAAATATTGTAAGATTGTGAAATGTTAACAGCTGCGGTGATTTTTGTCGCCAATGCAGATGCGTCTTTTCCGCGTAGATACAATTAATTTTCCATTTGTATTTGCGAAATATTGAAATCGAATGACCGGGACGTTTATAAATGTAATTGTAGTTAAACGAATGTTTATTGTTTTATTGATTTTCAGCTTTATTTGAAGCAAATAATGTGTATTGAAAAAGTAACTGGGAAAACGGGTACACTGAAAGTCTTATTACTGATGTTATTAAGATAGAGATCTATTATCTATCGTATTTGTTCTTTAATTTGTTACAAAAGCATAATGATTATTCGCTAAAAGTCATCTTTTGGTCACAATTTGTTTCTGTTCTAGTAACTTAGAATCCTCTGATTTAATATTTTTATACAGAATAGTAGTAGTGAGTAGTGACCGTAGGTGACGCTTTCCCTCGTATTTCCGACGATGTGTGTTGTGCGTGTTGTGTTGAGGTTGATTTACGAAACGTAATGGCTAGGTTCGGTATTGTTTAAGAATAAGTATGTAAGTATGCAGTTTACTTGACATTTCTCTCAAAATATTATAAAATCATATATCAATTAACGTTTACCGCGGTCAGTATTGTATTAGTAATTAGAGTTCATAGCTACATAAGTTACAGCACCTGTGGCTGCACGCCATACAGTTCCGAGTACGAGTTTAGACACTAAATTGTATTGCATTATACTTGAATTAGATGATTGCCGATCATATTTTAACTTACTTTTATATTTTTTTTGGCTATACTGATGTTATTCTACAAATTGAGTTCTTAACACTAATACTCATACAATTAATATCTCACAATTGGATTTCTCTTTATTATAGATAATTAACTTGAAAAATGTCGATACCACCGTATTTATTGGGCCCAAACCCATGGGCCACTATGATGGCCCAACAGCAAGCTCATGCTCAGCTAGCAGCGGCTCAGGCTCACGCTCAAGCAGCAGCACAGGCACAAGCCGCTCACCATGCCCACATGCAAGCTATATCTGGACCGCCCTTACCACAAATGCCCAAACAACCTGAAGTTTTATCAGAGGATAAGCTTCAGGAAAAAGGTATTGAAAATTTAAAATTCCTTTAATTTCACATATTTAAAAATCATATTTATGCAATTTTAGCTCAAAAATGGCAGCAACTCCAGTCGAAGAGATTTGCCGAGAAAAGAAAATTTGGTTTCGTCGACGCTCAGAAGGAAGACATGCCTCCTGAGCACATTAGAAAAATTATTAGAGATCATGGAGATATGAGCAGTCGTAAATACAGACATGACAAACGTGTCTACCTAGGGTAAATAAACATGTCTTTAACTTAAAACAGAATTAAACGATCTGAATAATTGCGTAAATTTTTTAGGGCGTTGAAGTATATGCCACACGCGGTAATGAAACTGTTAGAAAACATGCCTATGCCTTGGGAACAGATTCGAGACGTAAAAGTTCTGTACCACATAACGGGTGCAATTACTTTTGTGAATGAAATTCCTTGGGTCATAGAACCTGTATATATCGCTCAGTGGGGGTAAGAAAATAATATTTCGTTCGTGCTCGTTCTTTTATTCAGTTACTAATAAATGTACTTGTAATTTATAGTACGATGTGGATTATGATGCGAAGAGAAAAACGAGACCGTAGGCATTTCAAGAGGATGAGATTTCCACCGTTCGACGACGAAGAACCTCCGTTGGATTACGCGGATAACGTGTTGGACGTAGAACCTTTGGAAGCTATTCAGATCGAGCTCGATTCAGAGGAAGATGAATCCGTAGCATCGTGGTTTTACGAACACAAACCGCTTGTTGGTACAAAGTGAGTGTTAAACATTGCTTAAATCTATTACAGAATTGTTTGTTCTTTATGATGAATCGCGTAGGGGTCCTGAAATCAACTAAACTGTGAGTTGATGGCTATGATAATTTAGTAGACTTGTCCGAGACGAGTGCTGCTAGTTATTATTAGCTGGACAAAACGCTATACTGAAATGTTTCATTATCTCTTCGTTGCCTTGAATAGTTCCTTTCGAAATTATATTTATAATTGATAATGATGTTGCAGGCATGTTAATGGATCTACTTACCGAAGGTGGAACCTAACATTGCCACAAATGGCAACTTTATATCGCCTGGCTAATCAATTGTTAACGGACCTGGTGGATCAGAACTTCTTCTACCTCTTCGATCCGAAATCATTTTTCACTGCGAAAGCATTAAACATGGCTATACCGGGCGGACCGAAATTCGAACCACTCGTAAAGGACTCGAATGCAGCTGACGAAGATTGGAACGAGTTCAACGACATTAATAAAATTATCATTAGGCAGCCCATAAGAACGGAATATCGCATCGCGTTTCCTTATTTGTACAACAACATGCCGCACTTCGTACATTTATCATGGTGAGTGACAAAGTAATTCAATTAAAACTAATATCCACACAAGTTTTAAGACTCGTCGGTGTTTAGTGAATGAAAGTCTTACTAGCAGTGTGGTAAATAAAAAGCTAACGGTGATTGTTATTCGTATCCTTTGCAAAGCGTAAAAGGCAACTGCTGAAATCACCTACAATTTCCATAAAATAATCTCTGATATTTTAATGGTATTTGCAAATTTTACTTACAGGTACCACGCGCCGAATGTAGTTTATATTAAAACCGAAGATCCTGACTTACCTGCGTTTTATTTCGATCCATTGATCAATCCTATTTCTCACAGAAATTCTCTGAAGGTAAAGATATTTGCATCTGTTTAGCTCGAATAAAATCGTAGGGAATTACATTGTTTACGTTGAATGTTTTCAGACGATGGAACCACAAATTGATGACGATGAAGATTTCGTCCTGCCCGAGGAAGTACAACCCTTTCTTCAAGAAACTCCTTTATACACTGACAATACTGCGAACGGTATAGCCCTGCTGTGGGCACCAAGACCGTTCAACACTCGTTCAGGTAGAACGCGCAGAGCCATCGATATTCCTTTGGTGAAATCGTGGTATAGAGAGCATTGCCCGCCAGGGCAACCCGTCAAAGTTCGTGTCAGTTACCAAAAGCTGTTGAAGTACTTCGTTCTAAACGCGTTGAAGCACAGACACCCAAAACCGCAAAAGAAACGTTATCTATTCCGATCATTCAAATCGACCAAGTTCTTCCAAACGACTACGATAGACTGGGTCGAAGCAGGTCTACAAGTATGCAGACAAGGATACAACATGTTGAATCTGCTTATTCACAGAAAGAACTTGAACTATCTTCACTTGGATTACAACTTCAATCTAAAACCGGTTAAAACGCTAACGACGAAGGAGAGGAAGAAATCCAGATTCGGAAACGCGTTTCATTTGTGCCGTGAGATTCTCCGTTTGACAAAATTGATAATCGATTCTCACGTGCAATATCGTTTGAACAACGTCGACGCGTTCCAACTAGCGGACGGGCTGCAATATATCTTCGCGCACGTTGGCCAGTTGACTGGAATGTATCGATACAAATACAAACTGATGCGGCAGATCAGAATGTGCAAAGATCTGAAACACTTGATTTACTACCGATTCAATACAGGTCCTGTTGGGAAGGGTCCCGGTTGTGGATTCTGGGCACCCGGATGGAGAGTCTGGCTCTTCTTCATGAGAGGAATCACTCCATTATTAGAACGATGGCTAGGAAATCTGTTGTCGAGGCAGTTCGAGGGTCGTCATTCCAAGGGTGTCGCAAAGACCGTAACGAAGCAGCGAGTGGAATCGCATTTCGATCTTGAGTTACGAGCATCCGTGATGCACGACATCGTTGACATGATGCCAGAAGGAATCAAACAGAACAAAGCTCGGACGATTCTTCAACATTTGAGCGAGGCGTGGAGGTGTTGGAAAGCTAATATCCCTTGGAAAGTTCCCGGACTACCAATACCGATTGAAAACATGATCCTCCGTTATGTGAAGATGAAAGCAGATTGGTGGACCAACACAGCGCACTATAATCGAGAAAGAATTAGGCGCGGAGCGACGGTGGACAAGACTGTTTGCAAGAAGAATCTTGGACGTCTAACACGGCTGTACCTTAAGGCTGAACAAGAAAGACAGCACAATTACTTGAAGGATGGTCCCTACATTTCACCGGAGGAAGCAGTCGCTATTTACACCACAACTGTACATTGGCTAGAATCAAGGAGATTCGCTCCTATACCTTTCCCACCGTTGTCTTACAAGCACGATACCAAGCTGCTGATATTAGCTCTGGAACGATTGAAGGAAGCTTATAGCGTGAAGTCGAGATTGAATCAAAGCCAGCGCGAGGAACTTGGTTTGATTGAACAAGCGTACGACAATCCTCATGAAGCGCTATCCAGAATTAAGCGTCATCTTTTAACTCAAAGAGCTTTCAAGGAAGTAGGAATAGAGTTCATGGATCTTTACAGTCATCTGATTCCTGTCTACGACGTCGAACCGCTTGAGAAAATTACAGATGCGTACCTGGATCAATACTTGTGGTACGAAGCGGACAAACGAAGATTGTTTCCACCGTGGGTGAAGCCATCGGACACGGAACCGCCACCTCTTTTAGTATATAAATGGTGTCAGGGTATCAATAATCTGCAAGATGTTTGGGACGTCAGCGAAGGAGAGTGCAACGTGCTATTGGAATCAAAATTCGAGAAGTTGTACGAAAAGATTGATTTAACATTGCTGAATAGACTTCTCCGATTGATCGTTGATCACAATATAGCAGATTACATGACAGCTAAAAATAACGTTGTCATAAATTACAAGGATATGAACCATACGAACAGTTATGGTATAATTAGAGGGTTGCAGTTCGCATCGTTCATAGCGCAGTATTATGGCTTGGTGCTCGATTTGCTAGTTCTCGGGTTGCAACGTGCCAGTGAAATGGCCGGTCCTCCTCAAATGCCGAATGACTTTTTAACTTTCCAGGACGTCGCTTCGGAAACTGCGCATCCTATCAGATTGTATTGCAGATACGTCGACAGAATACATCTGTTCTTAAGATTCTCAGCGGACGAGGCGAGAGACTTGATTCAACGATACTTGACGGAGCATCCAGACCCGAACAATGAGAATATCGTTGGGTACAATAACAAAAAATGCTGGCCCAGAGATGCCAGGATGCGTCTGATGAAGCACGACGTTAATCTAGGCCGCGCCGTTTTCTGGGACATTAAAAACCGTTTGCCCCGTTCGACGACTACCATACAATGGGAGAACAGTTTCGTCAGCGTTTACAGTAAAGACAATCCGAATTTGTTGTTCAACATGAGCGGATTCGAGTGCAGAATTTTACCGAAATGTAGGACGACCCATGAAGAATTCACGCACAGGGACGGAGTGTGGAACTTGCAGAATGAAATCACGAAAGAAAGAACCGCCCAGTGTTTCTTGCGAGTGGACGACGAGAGTCTACAACGATTCCACAACAGAGTCAGACAGATTCTAATGGCATCCGGGTCTACGACGTTCACAAAAATTGTTAACAAATGGAATACCGCTTTGATCGGTCTGATGACCTACTTCCGCGAAGCTGTCGTGAATACGCAGGAGCTTTTGGATCTGTTAGTGAAATGCGAGAATAAAATACAAACACGTATCAAGATCGGTCTCAATTCGAAAATGCCCTCGCGATTCCCGCCGGTGGTGTTTTACACGCCGAAGGAATTGGGCGGGCTTGGAATGCTTTCGATGGGACACGTGCTCATACCTCAATCAGACTTGAGATGGTCCAAGCAAACGGATGTCGGCATCACGCATTTCCGTTCGGGCATGAGTCACGACGAGGATCAGTTGATTCCTAACTTGTATCGTTACATACAACCGTGGGAATCCGAGTTCATAGACTCGCAACGAGTATGGGCGGAGTATGCGTTGAAAAGGCAGGAGGCAAATGCACAAAATCGTAGATTGACTTTAGAGGATCTGGAAGACAGCTGGGATCGAGGTATCCCTAGGATAAATACACTGTTCCAAAAAGATAGACACACTCTGGCCTACGACAAGGGATGGAGAATACGGACAGAATTTAAACAGTACCAAGTATTGAAACAGAATCCCTTCTGGTGGACTCATCAACGTCACGATGGTAAATTGTGGAACTTGAACAATTATAGAACGGACATGATTCAAGCTCTGGGTGGTGTGGAGGGTATTCTGGAGCACACTCTCTTCAAAGGAACGTACTTCCCTACGTGGGAAGGTCTTTTCTGGGAGAAAGCGTCCGGGTTCGAGGAATCTATGAAGTATAAAAAATTGACCAACGCTCAGAGGTCCGGTTTGAACCAAATTCCGAATCGTCGGTTCACTTTATGGTGGTCGCCGACCATTAACAGGGCGAACGTGTACGTTGGTTTCCAGGTCCAATTAGATTTAACAGGAATATTCATGCACGGTAAAATTCCTACGCTGAAGATCTCTCTGATTCAAATTTTCCGTGCGCATTTATGGCAGAAGGTGCACGAGTCGATCGTGATGGATCTCTGTCAAGTGTTCGATCAGGAATTAGACGCGTTGGAAATCGAAACTGTTCAGAAGGAGACTATCCATCCTCGAAAATCGTACAAGATGAATTCCTCCTGCGCAGATATTTTACTGTTCTCCGCGTACAAGTGGAACGTTTCGAGGCCCTCGTTGCTCGCCGATTCGAAGGACTTGATGGATAATACTACCACACAGAAATATTGGATAGACGTCCAACTCAGATGGGGAGATTACGATTCGCACGATATAGAAAGATACGCCAGAGCGAAATTCTTAGATTATACGACGGACAACATGTCCATTTATCCGTCGCCTACAGGATTACTAATAGCCATCGATTTAGCTTATAATTTACACAGTGCGTACGGTAACTGGTTCCCAGGATGCAAGCCTCTCATACAGCAAGCAATGGCCAAGATAATGAAAGCGAATCCAGCTCTGTACGTGTTAAGAGAAAGAATTAGGAAGGCGTTGCAATTATATTCGTCAGAGCCCACGGAACCGTATTTATCTTCGCAAAATTATGGAGAATTATTCTCGAATCAAATTATCTGGTTCGTCGACGACACAAACGTCTATCGCGTCACTATTCACAAAACATTCGAGGGAAATTTAACGACGAAGCCTATAAACGGAGCAATATTTATTTTCAATCCCCGAACAGGGCAACTGTTTCTGAAAATTATTCACACTTCCGTCTGGGCCGGACAGAAGCGTTTAGGACAATTGGCAAAGTGGAAAACGGCTGAGGAAGTAGCCGCGTTGATTAGGTCTCTGCCCGTTGAAGAACAACCCAAACAAATTATAGTAACCAGAAAGGGAATGTTGGATCCATTGGAAGTGCATCTACTCGACTTTCCTAACATCGTGATCAAAGGATCAGAACTTCAGCTACCCTTCCAAGCTTGTCTGAAGGTAGAGAAGTTTGGCGATTTGATATTGAAAGCGACAGAGCCTCAAATGGTGTTGTTCAACTTGTACGATGACTGGTTGAAAACTATCTCTTCGTACACTGCATTCTCACGTTTGATCCTCATCCTTCGAGCGTTGCATGTTAATACCGAAAGGACAAAAGTCGTTTTGAAACCCGACAAGACGACCATAACGGAACCCCATCATATCTGGCCTTCGCTGACGGACGACGAATGGATCAAAGTTGAAGTACAATTAAAGGATTTAATCTTGGCTGATTATGGTAAAAAGAACAATGTGAATGTCGCGTCGTTGACTCAATCTGAGATCCGGGACATAATCCTGGGTATGGAAATCAGTGCGCCGTCCGCGCAGCGACAGCAGATCGCTGAGATAGAGAAGCAAACGAAAGAGCAGTCGCAGCTGACAGCGACGACAACGAGGACGGTCAACAAACACGGCGACGAGATTATCACAGCCACGACTTCGAATTACGAGACGCAGACGTTCAGTTCAAAGACCGAGTGGCGAGTGAGAGCGATTTCTGCTACCAATCTACACTTGCGTACCAATCATATATACGTGTCGTCCGACGATATCAAAGAGACCGGTTACACGTACATTTTGCCGAAGAACGTGCTCAAAAAATTTGTTACTATATCGGATTTGCGGGCGCAGATCGCGGGATATTTGTACGGCATTAGTCCACCGGACAATCCGCAAGTGAAGGAAATTAGGTGCATAGTTATGGCACCGCAGTGGGGAACTCATCAGACGGTTCATTTACCAAACACGCTTCCTAATCACCAGTATCTGAAAGAAATGGAGCCCCTAGGATGGATTCATACGCAACCAAACGAGCTACCTCAACTGTCTCCGCAGGTTTGTGTTTCATAATTACTCGTACAATATTCGAATCTAATCACGTTGTATTTTGTTTTCAGGATATATCTACCCACGCCCGGATAATGGCAGAGAATCCGATTTGGGATGGAGAGAAGACTATCGTCATTACTTGCAGTTTCACGCCAGGATCCTGCTCTCTTACGGCATACAAATTAACACCCAGGTGCGTGAAATGAAAATGCCAACATTTGTTTGCATTAATTTATTAATCAGAATTTTGCTATTTTTATAATACATTACTGGAGTTCCTATTGTAATGAGCGTTAGAATTATTTTCCATAATCTGTTGATAATGTCATCAGTGAGTGGGAAGTTTTAATTGATAAATCTACTCGTATATCTAGTTTATGATCTTGCGTTATATATGTGTTTACGTTGTTCAACGAATTAAATGACTGTTTATTTTCATTGCTATCAATTTCTCTGTTTCAGTGGTTTTGAATGGGGGAAGCAAAATACCGACAAAGGAAATAATCCCAAAGGCTACCTACCGAGTCATTACGAGAAAGTACAAATGTTGTTATCCGACCGTTTCCTCGGATTTTTCATGGTACCGAGTCAAGGTTCCTGGAACTACAACTTCATGGGTAAGATTCGCCTTCTTATTTTATAATTTGAATTCATTGAATGTGACGTGATCCATTTTCTTATTGAACCGCAGGTGTCAGGCACGATCCGAATATGAAATACGAACTGCAGCTGGCGAATCCGAAGGAGTTCTATCACGAGATCCACAGACCTGCACACTTTTTAAATTTCTCGAGTTTAGAGGATGGAGAAGGTGTCGGTGCTGATAGAGAAGACGTGTTCGCATAAAGAGATGGTAATCTTTCCTCTTTTTTACAAGCTGAACAATACCTGAGAGTTCGTTGGTTTAATTTTTTAAATAGTGAGAGACATGAGAATTTTTAGTACATAATCTTTCAATAGATTCGTGATAGCATCTCTTATCGCGTTAGAATAAGATACACATGTACGTATACAACTATTGTATAAGATATAATTGTAAGAATGTATAAAATGTTTGCATTGCATTCGTAAAAAATAACGAATACATACGTTTGGACATACATATAGAATAATTTCACTTTTATTACGTTCTTATAAGTTGTAAAGATTGAGACATTGAACATTGAATACAAATTCCATTGTAGCTTATGGATAAAAGCGCAAGCATTTTCATGTAAATTATTCTAATCCGAATTTAAGTGATTGTGAAACAATTTTAAAATAATTGATAAAACGACTAGATGCTCTTTGGTGAAATTAAGGATTCGCATCGTCCTTTAAGAATACGCGTTATAAAAACACTTACTAAATAAATTTTCTTAATGTAACCGTCCTTCCATACGATTCCTTTATTTAGTATCATCGATGCGTCTGATAACAATTTTCCTCAACGCGACCAGAAACCGATCGGAAGTTTCGCATTTCGAGATATTTCGCGCGAACGCTTTCTGTTAATTCTGAAATTGTAGTGTTCGGTTAGGCGAGAAATGTTCTTTTCCTAGGTCATTGCAGTCGAAGTGGTGTAGGTACGTGAAGCCGCAGAACTATGATAAGCACTGCGGGTCAAGTTCCTCGATAGAACATTTCTACCGTAACAGTTGAACCGCCTCAGCAACAGCTGTCTGATCTTCTCCTTCCAAACAAAGATTATGAAGATGATAACGCCTTGCAACGCGTTCGTGAGATCAGTGATGTACCACAGGTAATTGACCCAGTCTGTTACTTCCGCCCAAGTGAATGCCCAAGATATGATTTCCATCGACCAATTAATGCCCATCACGATGAACAGCTTTAGATATAGGTTGAATCTGTATCATAAACGTGAACGTTTATTTTTCGAAGACGAGGGAGAAAGACGTCCCGCGTGCACGTCTACGTATGTATCGTAAAGTCGTATTCGTGAAATAACACTTCGAAGAGCACGCGGTAATAAAACGGTGCTGCCGCGTTTCTGATATTTCGTATGCTACACATATGCAAATAGACTGTGCGGAAAGACTTCGATGATACTCTTGCGGATGGATAGGTGTTTGTATTTATTACGCGAGAGAAAACCGTCCCCTCTTCGTTACGAAAACAAATCATGTCATGGGAAAATATGTTTCACGCTCCTATGAGAAGGTCTAAAAATAATTTCGTCGTTATACGCGTATAACAAGTACGGTTCGAATTCGGTCCTATATTTGTTCGCTGAACTTTGACACGATAAAACGTAGGTAATACACGTGAGAGTCTCTTCCTTTCGTTTTTCGCGAACGGGACATAAAAAGAGAACGAACCGCTGTTTATTATCATCGTGGCGTCTGCTATCCGCGCCACCGAGATGAAGAGACGTGTCTTTCTTATGCTTCATAATCTTCAATGCCGTAGACGCGAAGAGCAATATGTTACAAAATATGGTAACAGCTATAGGACCGTAAAAATATATTGCCGTCCTTTCCTCCGCTGTAAACGTAGAATCGATTAATCATTTACCAAGGCAAGATCGGCGTGGATGCTTACATGAGAACCAGCATCTTTGTTCGGCGAACCCCGGTTTGTACAGATGATCCGGAATGCCGGGGACGAAGTCCATGATGGCACAGACCCCGGTCAGAAGCGACGCGCATCCCCAAGCGTAAATTGAATATATAACAAATTTCTTACGTTCCCTTTGGTTCACGCTACCACGCAGCGCTCGGAACCCTCTAAAAATAAAAAAGAAAACCATTCATCATCCACGTAATAATTTTCGACAAAATTTTAACTGTAACTTTTTCAAGCCAATTTTTCTCGATTGCGTGTCATATATTTGTAGGTGTGGCAACGATGCATACGCGTATAAAACGTATAACGTGCACACTTACAAACACGTATCATCTGTGGTTTTAAATGACGCATTTCATATTTCCTGACTAATACGAGTTCTAAAGCAAGATTAGAGACACTTTTAACATGAACCATTTCCATAAAAAATGAATAATGAACACGTTGTCTCTTCTTCACGCTTTTCATTCTATTTTCCTTTTTCATTCGAAGGAAATTAGAAAGGTGGGAAGTGTTTGACGAACGAGAGTGTCAGATTACATACAATATATCCCGTCTGTTAGGACAGCTAATTTCTTGTGGTTTTATCGTAGCAGCGTGTTAGGGTGGAAGTTACCCCTCACGGTTCAGCCACGCTTCTCTACGCGGCTAAGTAACCGTATTTATCTACGTGTATAATAAAAAGGGCTTGGCGAGGTCGCGTGCAACGTTGTCATGCCTGTAATAAATGATATTATTATATGCGGGTAAATTTTCGGGTGCGACATTCCCGTCACGCGAGGCCTCTTCTTGAAATGATACTTTGTTCGCGGAACGTTTAAAAATATCGGTACTACACATGCGTGCGATTTCTTTAAAAAAGCAAACAGTATTCTGCAAATAATCGAAACCAATTGTTACGCATCCTATTCTATCTAAAACACGTTTTAGATAGCCGCTCGCTTTTATTATTGCAGCCGCTCCCTGTCGGCTCGCGAGTAGCGATCTGAAACATCTATGGTATTAATTTAAAAGCTTCTTCTATCGTCCACGCAATTATTTCACAGTTCCATGTAATAATCTTTCCTCGTACATGCGTCACAGATAAGTGAAATACTCATCGCTTTATCAATCAACGACACCCTTGCTTCGGTTCACTTTTTAATTGATTAATCGGACGGTGCCGGTATAAATCTTGTTTGATTAATCCTAATTGATCCTGGTAGAACAAACTTGGAGAGGTTCGAGTCTCCCAAAGTTCTCATCGATATCGGCGTCGGGCGTCTTTGTGGCGGCGGTCTCACCGTTGCCTCTTCGGTACAAACGGAACGACCGATTCTCGGCTTTTGAAATTTGTTTGGAGAATACGTCACGATTTATTTGCTGTACAACTGGCGCCGATACACACGAACGAAACTGGATCTTGAACTTGTATAAGAGCTTGCAAAAGAACGGCACGTTTCAGGTCTATTTCAGTTATACAAAAGGCTATAGAGGAATGACATAACGAGTTTAGCAAATATTTCAAGGATAAGATGCGTCACTACTTCAAGAAATATATCTGATATTTCTGATACTTGGACGTATCGTATCATCGCGTTTTGGTATGTTTGCACAAACACTGAATGAACGATTCTATTCGATTAAAGTCTTATCGACATCTGCCACTGACATTTATTTGTAAAAGCATTGAACAACTGTTTCATATATTTATTCGTATAGACTGGCGAGATAAAATTACTTATTTAATATATTAAGCGAGAGTAGTATTTGTTTATTGCGGGGAAGTTTATGGTCTCTCGCGTAAATCGAAGACAGCTTTTTTGCGCTTAATGAGGGGCAATAAGTGTACGGTTACGATCGAACTCAATTTAAGAATGTTTGCAGAGTGTACACGGACTCCGTCACACGAACCGGATATTAATTCGCATTACGCGGCTATCAATTTCCCTCGTTTGTCAGATATCGAGTTTCCTCGAAAGGAAAAGAAAGGGATGGGAGTAGCGTTCGTGGAACGTTCGCCCGTGCGGAAGATGTTTAACACCGTGGGATCGTTAAATCGCCTACTTACCCAAAGGTCCACCAAATGTCGAAGCACATTACGTTCAACCAGAAAAAGCTCGCCACGAAAGAGAAATGGGTGATGAATGCTGGAACAGAAACGATGAAAATCGTGTTAAATATTAATTAACAATAAAATGATGGTCTTCGATCGGAAGGGATTCTACAAAATACAATAAAAATCCTCGACTGATAATGATAAGTCAACGATAACATCGATAATGTAATACATAAAATGCATTTGGTACCAAGCACATAGCAAGACTGGTCAGAAATGTCATCAGGTGGAACAGTCTGCATCGTCGCGAGCATCACGTAAGCGACCAGTAGACAACCGATGTACCCTCGAAGCGTGCGGCCATGCAAGTTTTTCAATTCTGGTAACACCGAATAAACGAAAAACGTCGCGAATAGAAACGGTATCGAGATGTACAATCCGTACGTCTTTGAACCTCCTATCTCGTCTTCCGGTACGAAGCAATAATTGACGTCGCTAATATTGGAATCGATGACGCCGTTGATGCAGTACAGATTATCCTCCAAAGTAACTTCTATGATGAACATATAAATCGTACTGTCGTTTAAGAGCTGGAACAAGTGTTCGACATTGTAGTCCGGAGAAAGTTGCTTGTAGACGCCGTTTTGGCAGCCGGGCTTCTGGACGATGAGATGAAAGTAACGCCAAGGATCTGGTGTTCCATCGATCAACTTTAGATCATTGGCGCTGTAGAGGGGTGGCAAACGGAGGGTCGCGTTCACCGGCACGCATTCACCGTTCATCAAACGATCCCCATATGGACAACACAGAGAGAGATTGCTTCTAAAATCGGTAATATTTTTCTTCGCGTCCTCAGCCGGAGGGAGAATTGAAGAAATTGACTGTTCATCTGACTGGGACTCGTTTGTACACTGAATCGCGTGTATCACCAGGAGCAAACCGATCCCGAGGAACTTCAACGTATCGTTGCCAGACATCTTGAACCATCGAGTTTCGCCGAACAACTAAAAATTCCTTCACAATCAATAGCTGAAACCACAGAAATTATCACGGTATACGGAAACAGCTCAACGGTAGACGATGTTTATACGTCACCGTTTCCTTTTCCCTCCAGCGAACGGACTGACCCATAAAAAGAAACGATATCTTCCTCCTTTTCCTTAACCACTCCTACTTTATTTCTTTCCTCCACTGATGACATTCTTTCAAAAGGTCGCATAAGATTCAGAGGTTGAAAAAAATTATTCGAGATGGAACGAAACGAGCTGAAGTGTGGTTTGATATCTAAACTTTACACGGCCCTTTCTGAGATGTTTGATAAATGGAGTTCAATTCGAATCTGTACACATACTCAGAGATACGGTGGTATATCATGTTTATCGTAAGACACACGTGAACGTACGATTTTTCCGTTGGATCTGACTAATCGATCGTCTGTTTCACAAATATAACAGCGTGCATCGGTTCACGATTGAACGGGAAAAATGAGACTTACCTATCACCGCGCAGAAGAAGAAGCTGAAGTAGAAGAAATTGGTCAAAACGAGGAATGTGTATGCGGTCAGCAGGCAAGCCACGTAACACATCAAAGTCTTTCCATAGAGATTCCTCAGTTCCGGGATGAACGCGTAAACGAAGAAAGTAGCAAGTAAGAAGACAATCGAGATCATGATGCCGACATTGTAAGACATCTGTCGTTCCTTCGTTTTCTCCTTCCCGTCAATAGGACTGTACACTTGTTCGCATACGCGCACCACGATCTTCTCAGAAGATTCTTTCCAATCGAGACAATAATTCCACGGCGTCAAATTAGACATGATAGTGCGAAGAGTCCCGTCTTTTTGCAACTCGAACACGTCGTCATCGTACAGTTCTGGTTCGAGCATGTATTTCGTAAGGGTACTCTTGGGGCAGTCCATATCCTCGACGAGGACGAACTGGTCTATGTCGGAGATCTTCCGGATACCCACGTCCACTCGCGTTTCTCGAACCTGGCTAGGTCTGGTGCAATTCGGCGCGCTGCCTCTCCCCAAAATGTCTTCACCCTTGCAGCATTTCCATAAACACAGCTGTAGATCGCACGTGCATCCGTACGTTTCGTTCCCGACTATATGATAAGACCCGACGGGGTACACGAGATTATCGTACGCCAAACTTCCGTTCTCAAACCATTTGATCTTATCCCGTGACAAAACGGTGCCAGGGAACGGACTGCAAAACGAATCCTCTTTTGTATTATTTCTTTCTCCATTGATCTTCGTCACATAGACCAAAACTAACGAAATCGCACTAATTATCACGCGGAAACGCTTCATTGTCAATCGTACGCGGTTCGCGCGCGAATCTGCTGCGGCGCCCGTTTCTGGTCACCCTCTCTCGGTGTACTTATTGTATTCAGATCCGACGGATAACGTTTGTCTTCTTAACTAGGACCGGAAGAGCCTCGAAGATCACTGCATAAGTTCATTACCGTGTACTGTTCCACATTGAAGCGATCACCCGAAGAATCGCGAGGCTCGCGACTGACTGCCCTATGAATTTTCTGATCATCGTGTTGATCACGCGCGCGCGCCTACTCGCCTCCCCAATGCTCTATCAACACCATCCGAATTACAATTACAGAGCCTCCACCTTTTCACATTATAAAGAGATTGATTACGGACTCATTAATGATTACTGTAAAAGACAACAGCCTCCTGTCTTTATTTGAAACTTGATATATACAATCGTATGGATCATGATGATTGATTAAACTCGTAATTTGATATGCAATTAATTAATTGCGCGAGTATGCCTACGTTAAATAAGCAGGGTGACATGTTTGTTTAAAAAGTCCTTTATTTTAAATAAAAACCTGTAGAAAGTGGCAGGAGAAATAAGCCGAAGCTGTAAGAATACAAAGGTGTAAAGCCGACTTGTTCTCCAAATAATTTATTTATAAATTTAATCGATTTATAAACATTTCCATCAATCGCGAATTCCGCGGTTTGATTCAACTGGTGGTACCATCTCTTCCAACAGTTCTCAAACTGGTTACACTCTCTTGGCTTTACCGACGGTGAAATATATACAAATAATACATATTCCTCTGATCGTTCGTTATATTTCGTAATAAATAATGATCGTGCGTACAATTTTTCATATCACCGAGCTTATCAGTGAGATTCTGCACGTGGAGATACTTGTAACATTATAATTCTTAAGAAGAAAACGAACTGAGAATCTCGATTATTATTTATTTGTTTCGACAAGTAGATATTAATTACAGTGCGCCACTTGTTGCATCTGAGCGTACGCGGGTTTATAAAGGATAAAAGTAAATGGCAGATCTAGACGATTCACGATTCATATGGAAAAACGCAGATGCTGTTACGTTCGACGTTGACTCGACGGTGATACAAGAAGAAGGAATCGACGAACTCGCGAAATTCTGTGGGAAAGAGGAGGATGTCGTCGCTCTGTAAGTTGCCTCGTTCTCATTCATTTAAATAGTCTCCTTCAATCGGACGAAACATTTTAGAACAAATAGAGCGATGCAAGGGGCTGTATCCTTCCGGCAATCTTTGACGGAAAGATTGAACATCATAAAGCCAACTCTCACGCAGCTCGAACAGTTCCTCGTCTCTTGCCCATTGAGACTTTCTCCCGGAATCGAGTACGACACTTGAATTGATCAAAGATCTACATATTGCACGACTTGTATTACATATTAAGATAATTGCAGAACTTTGGTGAGATCGTTACTCGCTCGTGGGAAACAAGTGTTTCTGATATCCGGTGGATTTCGTCGTTTGATCGCGCCGGTCGCCGACTCCCTCGGCATTCCTTCAGATAACATTTTCGCAAACAGATTAAAATTCGACGTCACAGGTTACTATCTCATTTCGATTTGTATCATTCGTTTAATATGCTTTCTCAAATATCTTATAAATCTGCGTACAGGAGAATATGCCGGATTCGACGAAAATCAACCAACCGCTGAAAGTGGTGGAAAAGCGAAAGTAATTAAGTATCTTAAAGAAGAAAAGGGTTTTAAAACTGTTGTACACATCGGAGACGGGGCGACCGATTTAGAAACTAAATCGATAGCTGATTTGTTCATAGGTACTTGAGTTCGCTTTACTTATTAACTTTTTTATTGCCAATTTCTTTAATACTTTTATCGCATAGGATACGGAGGGAACGTAATTCGAGATAGCATTAAACTACAGTCTGCATGGTTCGTTACTGACTTTAACGAGCTCACCGATGCTTTATGAGAACGGTAAGGACGACGCATATAAATATCACCGTAACTTTATTCCAAATCTGTTTGTTCCGTTTATTACATTTAACTCGTTAAAATAAAGTACAAGTAACTTTATAATGAATACTTTATACACCTATTATACAATAACAACAACTTAGTTTTAGTTCCATGCTTACATTATTACACAGACTGTTACAAGACACAATTTGTTTTGCATAAAACGCAGTAATCCTATAGAATGTGGCACGGTAATTATGTAGTAGAATTTACGAGGATTTTCCATATACAAAAGTATATACCTTCCCGTGAATGTCATTAAACAAGAATTTGTATTAAACAATGCCATTGATCCACAGATAGATTTCAGACGATTTTACATACTGATCCATCGACTAATCGCTCTTTAATAATCAATCACAATTTTTCTTCCTCTCCTGTTTCTTTTGTTTAACCCATTCCTTAATTCTACATCGTAGTTGAACGTCCGATTTAACCATGTCCATAGTCAGAGGGGATCTATTGAACGGATCTGTCTGATCGCTTAACAAGTGCCTAGAATAACAGATGTATATAAGCACAGTTTGTTAAGAGATAATTACAACGATAAAAAATGATGTTAACCTTGCAATGGTCTGCCGATCGATCGTTATACGAGACGATGGAAGAATGACAGGATCTGACATTAAAGTGGACATGATCGGGTCGAGAAATTCCTCGGGAGCGTCAACCAGAATTTCGTCTTCTTCCTTTTTGTAACTCGCAGCCGCTTCTACATTTTTCGCGAATTGATCCAGATCGCTCAGTATACCGACACCGCCGATACGAACTGCAATCACGCCGCAAAGCACATTGTAAATAAATTATAAAACAAAATCGAAAAGAGATATTTACCGAGAACGTTGTCAGCCAGTTTAAAAAGTTCCGGACTGTATGAACGACCGTCTTGGGAAACGGCGCGTACGAAAGACTTGCTCTGGCTGAGATTGATGTAGATCTCGCATATGTTCAATACTAAATTTGCAGGATTGAATGCGTATTCCTTTTGATCGTTTACCTAAAATTTCAAATGTTTAATGACCTTCGGATTGAAAGGCCGAATTCTTAAAATCCTTACCTTCAAATTCTTTTTATTTGGTCCAACCAGCTGTAGGAGTAAATAATTGAGCATCGAAGCAATGCGATCCACCAGTGTTGGATGACAGAAAATCGATTTTATCTCCGTAGTCAACATTTTCAACGTGTAAATCGTTTTTCTACCTAACACATTGTCGAACCGGGCAATCATTCCAAGATGCAACAGATCCTGAGCTTGTTGATCGCGTTCGTGTTGCGGCAATCTTTTCCATTCTCCGCTTTCCCTGATTCCAATTACGATTAATTAATTTTACCTATCGAATTTAAGAATAATAAAATATAGATACCTCGCTTGAATCAATTGTCTCAATTGCGCCATACTCGAGAGCGCTTCATCGAGTAGGAACACTGCGTCGTTCATCAATAGATTTATAAAACGCAGGAATAACGGAGGTTCAGCGTCTCTCATGTTTTCTTCGGCTTCTTCGGCTAAAGAACTACAAAAGCGAACGATTCAATTTTTTCATATAATTCATAACAGACTGTGATTAATTGCAAATAATTTGGCTTACACAAAAATACCACGATGCTCCGGTAATTTCCACAAGTATTCCATAACAATATACATCGGTCGTCGGTAATTAAATTTTTGTTCGAATTGCACGCTCTGCCCGGTCATTTCGATACTTACAAATACTTTAAGTAAATTCGGAACGATCTAAACGTACAATACGTGATACAGATTTACGAACGGGTAATTGAAAGTAAAAAAGGCATTCGACTTAATAAATGAGTGTCACGTACGTATTGTCTATACGGATGATTGATGAACAATTGTTCTCTCTGGAATGTCCCTAAGTTCGACGTTACGGGGCTCATGGTCTCATCGCTCGTAGGTAAGAGACTCTCCAGACCTTCCGCCATACGCGCACGTAAATGAGGATTGTACAACCGTTGTTGAGATTCCATTAAGACTATGATCTGACATCCAATCGTTTTCGTTGAATTCCACTTTCTCTCTCTCTTTAGTATTCATATACATTTTTGTCAACTCACCTCCGTCAACACAGGCGTAAGAAAAGCTGGACCCTGCTCCTCGAAAATATCCGGATTCAGACGCAATAAATATAAAAATCTAATAGTATTTTCTACTACGAACTCGGGAATGCATCTGCAGAAAGACATTGATAAATGTTTGATAAATGATAATTAACAAAAACAAGCTAAAAAATACCTTAAGGTATCTGGAGCAGTTTCGGGCAAAGGGAACGTAACCGCTTTACATTCTTTCGGAATGTAATCATTCTGTTCGCCGTTCACATCGTCCAAGTACAATTGCACCAACCAAAATGCTGTGGTCGCATGAAATTTCGACAACAGCTTCAACATTTCTGGCACCAGCAGGCTCGCTCGCAGAGACAGATATCTAGAACGAAAAACATTTTTATGGAACGCCTTTACCGTCATATTTTTGAGAACCATAAACACACGTACTTGGTCATCTCTTTTTCAATCAGGTGAATTATTTCGTCTAGTACTCGCAATCCACCGCTGCTCTGTGCATCTTGGTACACTCTTTGTATTCTCCCCAAGTCTTGGTTCGTTCTAGAATTTTCAAATGCAATTATCGATACTATTTTATTACGATGTATAATTAAATAGAACTCCATACCTTAGCAGTTTCTCTAATACTACTCTGTAGCCAAGGTCTAATGCCCTGTGAGTTAAAAAGAAGCACTCTGTACTAAATCCAAATGATTTTGCTACTGGTCTAGGACATTTCGACGCCGGTAGCAGACAAGTTTCAGAGGACATCCCCTTTAAATGTACCACCGGCCGTTCGTCCTGATCGTCTCGATTATTCTGATCCTGAACAGCGAAGTACTTTTTATTAAATCCTTTAAAAAACGATTCGATCCTCTGGGTACAAATCAACATACCTCCGCGGCACAGTACGTTGGATCAATTTTAGGCACTTTAGACTCGTTCTGCTTAATACAAAACGGTTGGCAAAGCCGCAGTAATACGTTCCCCAAATTTAACATCAAAGCATCGGAAACGCACGAGAATGAACTGAAGCCTATGTCGTTCTGAGCATTAAGTTTCCCTCTGTTCTCGTTCAAGTGTAGGCAGTCGCCTATCCACTGCAAAGTTAAATGACGGACTTCCGAAGAGCATCTTAGAAGCAAATGGAAAACCTTATGCAACGACTCGTTCAACGAGTCTAACGCTGTCCAAATACTTCCTTCTACAGTAGACGAAGACTGATAAAGAATTTAACGAAAATATATTACTGAAATCGATTTTAGTCCTTCTTATTCTTCTTATGGTCGTGTACTTACTCCTTCGAAGGGATTCTTAAAAAAATAAAATGTGTCTTTGATCGATTTTGGTAAACAGCTCAAATTAAGCAGTGCACCTAACAACGTATCCGCGTACGCTTGACCTATAGTGCCTTTCGGTGTACTGTGAACAATTACTAATTTGGCTAAGGGAGGGATCGAACAGAACAGATACAATATAGTGAACCAATATCGGCGAAAGAGAATCAGATTACTCTCTGCCGCTTCTTTATAAAGTATGTCCAAAACAGGTTTAAAACACGCCGTTATCGTATCTGTATCATTCCTGTCTGTTTGTAACTCAGACACAATGCCGTCAACAAACAGTGTAAGTTCTAGTTCACGCTCATTATCATCTATGAATAAAGAAATAAATTGTTCATAGATCTGAAAAAGGCAAGAAATTTAGAGCTTATTCCTTCGACTAAGTATCGGATATCTAAACGCGTGTGTACCTGCTGTTCCTCGAACAATTCTGGCTCTTGTAACGCGACGCTCGCATTTTGTATTATGGTCTGCCTTATCTTATTAAGCACATCCGAGGGCTGAGGTGTCTTCTGACGTTTAGATTCTGATAGTACACGGCAGTAGCTCTCGAATAAGTAAGGGATCACCTGTTTTTCTGTTACATGAGAATCATTGGGAGAGCCTCCGGCAGGTACCAATTTCGATTCGAGATCGGATGATAATAATCGCTCGAAAACTGCTTGCTCAATCGAATCAACATTGATGAATACTAGTCTCCGATTCTGTTCATTGGTCTCCGTCCCGTGCAACGTTATTCCGAGAACGTCGCCGAGGATATTGTTAACTTCCTTATCAATCCCAGAATCGTTGGATCCTTCAACATTCCCGACCTCCACATTTTTCTCCTCCTGTTGCGCAACGTGACCGATCTTGTCACCTTCGTTAATAACTGGCTGATTTTTCGAGGAGAATGACACGGCATCGTTGATAGTCGAAAACAATCCAGCGAACGGATTGTTATTCATATTGTCGCACATCGTTTTCCTCGTTAAAACTCGATCGGAATTGTTGGGAACATAATTGACCTGGGAATAGGCTGCCAAAATTTAATGTTCAACCTAAAACTATTGCAAAATAAGGTAAAGTATATTGTTCCACACGCACACTACCCCGCACCGTATGGCACCACCAGTGAACCTCATGAACCTTACGACTTACAAATATTATGGACGAGTAGTTCGTGAGCATGTAAAGGTGGGGATCCGAGGAAAATTAGACAGAGAAAAGAAGCGATCTTCTATCGCACGAGCTTCTCAAACTTTATATCACGCATGTGCAACGTGCAATCATCTCTGGTTTTGTTATACAATTCTATTTCGTAGAGTTGATTCACATCGAGCCGGGGTTCTTTGATCTTTCTTGAAACAATAAATAATTTATAAATACCATGTAGAAGTACTAATTTTCCATACACATCCGTATATTCCCTCTCTGTTACAATCATGTATTATGTAATCTCTATTATGAAATAAAAATTGTTAGAAATATTCATGCTTTTATTACTATAGATTTAATTGAGTGAGGAGTAAATAACTAAATTCTATATAATTTACGTGAATTGCTTTATTACTTATCGCAGCATACATTGTAGAGATTCTATATTTTAAGAGATGACGTTTGACACATTTACTGAGTAGACAGACAGTAGAGTAGTTCCATTTAAACGATGGCCTCTCCTCGACCGAAATCTCCTCGACCGCCTATATCCGCGAGAAAGGATGAGAAGGAAGAAACATTTTGGAATAAGATCGGCACGTTAGGCCGGAAAAAGCGTATTAAAGAAGGTACATCATTATATTTAACGTAGCATCGTGGTAACCTTGCTTCTCTTCTCCGGATTGCATTACCTTATATGGTACGAGTGGTTTGTTGCCTCACGCTTTTATTTACTGTTAACAATACCTATGCAATTAACAATTCTTATATTATTTTAATAAGTATTCCTTATAAGTGATCTTCGATTTTAATTTTTTCCTGTACAGTTCAAGAGGTACAGGAAGAAGGGAAATATGCAATTGATTCACCAGGATATGCGGCTAATCCAGAAATGCCACCGGAGGAATATGCCTTGGATGAGAACGAGGAACGTTCGATAATAGAACCGAGGTCCTTAGAGGATTCCAAGCTCAAGGAGCTTATATTCGTCTTGATCGAATGGATCAACGACGAATTAGCTGATCAGAGGATTATCGTCAAAGATATCGCGGAGGATTTGTATGATGGACAAGTATTGCAAAAACTATTAGGTGAGTGACAACAGTAAGGAAGAATGTCCACAGTTTAATTATGATACGTGTTCGTTTTTTAATTGTAGAAAAATTGACCAGAGAGAAATTAGATGTACCGGAAGTAACGCAGTCAGAAGAGGGTCAGAAGCAGAAATTGGCAGTCGTGCTTTCGGCTGCAAATCGAGTATTAGGCCGTTATCCACCGTACAAGTGGAGCGTTGAATCGGTTCATTCGAAGCATATCGTCGCCATTCTACATCTACTGGTTGGCCTGGCAAGGCAATTCCGCGCGCCCGTCAGATTGCCAGAAAGAGTAGCCGTGCAAATGGTAGTCGTGCGTAAAAAGGATGGACAATTGATACACAGGACGGTTCGGGAAGAGATCACGTCGACGTACGATGATTTGGGAATGCGCTGTGAACGAGACGCCTTTGATACTCTCTTCGATCATCCGGCTGATAAACTAGCTGTAGTTAAAAGAGTATGTTAGAATCCTTGAATCACGAAAGGCTATGTACAATTCGCGGCACGACTGATAATATTGTATTTCAGTCCCTGATTACTTTCGTCAATAAGCATTTAAGTAAGGTCCACTTGGAAGTGACGGATCTGGACACACAATTCCACGACGGTGTATTCTTAACGCTTCTTCTCGGACTTCTCGAAGGTTTCTTCGTGCCTCTTGGAAGCTTCCACCTAACTCCTAAGACACTCGATCAAAAGGTGCACAACGTCTCGTTCGCCTTTGACATCATGCAAGATATCGGTTTGCCTAAACCCAAGGCGCGTCCGGAAGGTGGGCATTATTTTTACTTATTGAATTAAGAACAGACGAAAATCCAATCGGTTATTTAATGACGTTCTGTTCACAGATATCGTGAACCTGGATTTGAAGTCGACGCTACGAGTATTGTACAACTTGTTCACAAAGTACAAAGGCACGAATTGAAATATGATCGACGGATGAGTTAATCGATGTTACTAATTCGCTAACCAAAGAGTGGTTTTCACAGGAGTAACGAAGAGGATAGAACTGCCTTTTTAAAGCTTAACATTTTATCGATACAATAATACATTTTATATATTCTTAAATGGAAATAAATCGTTTCACTTTTTAAAACCATCTGATATTTATTCCCGTCCCCACAAATTTTTTTTATCGATTAGAAATCGAACAGTTTTCGAGAAACGTTGACCGGGTTCCGTGACTGAAAAATCGTGTCCGTCATGTTTGGACATTTATCGTTCCGTTTATGACATGCTGCACAGCGTTCCAGTTATTCGTTCCAATTCTGCGATGCATATTGTAATGGAATCTGGCGAATAAATGGAATAGCGCACGGAAGAGCTAGGAGACTGATAGGGAAGAGACTCGATTTATCGTCGTCGATTCCATCACGATTTCTGTAAACGTGATTTGGAGGAAGATGTTACCAGAGCACGCGACGCTGCGACTTATTCTTGTCATCATAGTAACCGCTCCCGGTGTAAAATCACAGAGCAGAGCCCGTACTTGCGTTTCGCATCGTTCTTCTCGTTTCTCATTCATTTCTGTCTGTGTAAAAATTATTTAACGAAGATGCGAGATAAAGTTTACGGTACCGACTCGAGGTCGAAGAACATCCGCAAGAAGAGTCTATTCGAAGAATATGCTAAGATGTTTCGCATCCTATTGGCAACTTGGATCCAAGGTGCTCGGTTCAAGAATGATAAAATAAACGAGGACGAAGACGATTTAATATTACCGAGCAACGAAGAGTGGCGTTTTCGAGCGTACTATCGGTTGGTCGAGTTGCAAAGAGAAGAGGATAGTCTCGCTAACAAAAGGTACATAAGAAAGACCCTGCACTTATTTAATTAGTTTACCCACGTTTGAATGATAGACATTCTGTACATTATCCCGTATCGCGTCACTGATCCGAATATCGTCTCGTTTCGTTATCACCAAATATCAGTTCAATCTCCGGTTTGATCTGACGTGCGATTAAAATTAGAACAATTCGAATTAAATCGGCCTCCCTTCAATAGTAAGTTCCGATCGTTTTGGGCAATGAGAACTAGAAAATAATGGAGAAGTAAGTAGCTGACTCGTGATATGATCGATTGCGAATCTAATCGAATATCAAATGAGAGAATGCTCTACAAGGAGTAATATGATCGAAGAGTCGACGAGGAAGCTAAGCTGGAAACGGAGACGGAAGCGAAGTCGAAGGTGGAAGAGCAAAAGGCCGATTGGGAATGGGAGCCTAGAGGACAAGACTACAGCTTGAGGGCTAAGCCCACGAACCATCGAAACGAGGAGTCCAAGGAAGGATCGTTGACCAGCGTGATCGGTGTCGGTGGTTCGATGACCGAAGCGTACATCCAACCGGGTTGGCGTGCCAACGATATCTTGTTGGCTGCAAAAGTACTCCAGAGAGCTCCTTCTCCACGGTATTCAGATGAAGCTGAGATGCGTCGAGTGTTTGGGCTCGTCTACGACGTTCTCAGATGTAAATCCTCACGATATTACGTACAGACTGTTTCATGCATTTATAATAGAAATTGAACATTATTACATTACGTTGAATACTATTAATATTCTTCAGACAAAAAGGTGTTCTCTCGTGCCTTGGAGGATGTGGGATTCTGGCGACGCTATAGCAGGATTAAGGACCAAGAGAAGATCGTTTGGTTGTTACTTTATGATATGCAAGGAAGGAAATTCTTAAAACCGAGGTCTGAGATTGCAGCTCGCGAAGAACGCGAGAAAATGTTCAAAGCAAGTTTTGCCTTATAACAAATAAAGTTTCCTGCTTCGTATTTGAGTAAAAAATAGTCTACTAAATTAGAGCTCTCATTGACTATACTTATTTCGTCTATTAGGCGGCAGGATTGAAGGATATCGAGAACTCCCTCCTCGAGGTGAAAACGCACCTCGCCGCCAGTATCTCACGTTTACGTATCCGCGGCTCGGCCCTGAACCTCGGTGAATATTCATCCTACGACGCGATAGAATTTTGGTAGTTTCACTAAATAGAGAAAACAGTAGCGTAACCACTAAGTACAATAGATATTGTGTGTCGGAAGACGAGCTGCTACCGACTCCTCTGCGAGTCATCGAAGGTGTCACTTGGGGCGAACCGTCCGCGATTGCTTCCGGATGGATAAACACCGAGAAGCTTCGTGGCAAGGAAAAGTTTCACAAGGAGATGTCGAGATTGAATTTGATCTACTGCGAGGGCGGCGAAGCGACGGAGCTCGGGGAGACGGAGTACGCGTTTGACCCCATTTGCCCGAAAGTGGTGAACTTGCATGGGAATGCACGAGAGACTCTGGCTGTTTCCAATCTCGTTCGCCAGCACCGTTTCGTGTTCTTAGTAGGTAGACCAGACGAAAACCTATTCGCATCACATGGAAGAACGATTGGATATCATTAACTCCGATGACGTTGATCAGAAAAATTATACTTATCATTGTTTTTGCAACGATGCAAATGTATCTTCTTTGTAGGAAAGATCGTTGTGTTTGGGCGCGGCAGCGTTGGCACAGGCGATCCGCGTGGGTCGCATCCGTGGCCCGATCATCTTGACTCATTCTCTGGCGCCACGACACACCGGATATCTGGCTGAACTCTTAGCCGACATCGAGCACGCCGGAAAGCTGTTGGCGTTCGGAGCCGGTGATCGTTGCTGCGAGTACGAGACTTACCTGAAAGACTTGGGAGTCACGTTGCAACGGTGTCGCGTATTTCCTGAAAAGTACTACCTACTCTCTCTCTCTCTCTCTCTCTCTTCTCTCTCGTCTTATCAACAGTTATATTTCGCATGAAAGTCTGATGATATTTCACACTGATCTCTTTCATTAATTTCGTTAGATACGTATCGTATCCGGTGAACAGCGAATTGGAGAGAGCTACGGTAGTATTGGCCGCGCCGTCGTGTAGCTACACGGGTGTACGAGATATCGTCGACCTGGCGGTGGCTCGCGGAGGGGACATCGACCTCTTGGAATCGTTGACAAATGCTTACGGCGACGGGAACGAAAATTACAACGATCAGGAACAGTGGCGAAATTTTTTAACGGATCAGATGTCCACTTTGAGATACGCCCTGACCAGACCCAACGTGCAGTTCGTCATATACGAGGTGCATACGATTTCACCTTCGGAGACGACGGACATGGTCCGAACGGTAGTAGATTCCGTGAACCAGATGGCTATGGAGAAACATCGCGAGCATCCGGTAAGCCCTTGGTTTCCATAATACAAGAATAGAAATATACAAATTGTACCAATTTGGATTCAAGAGGAAGCTTCCAAAAGAATCGAAGTCGACGAAATGGGACGAAGAGCTGCGAGAAGATTCTGCCTTGTCGCTTTCTAACATTTCTGTAAGATAGCCACGCCGCAGTATGTTTGCAGACGCATTAAGAAATTTCCTATGAAACGGTAGGTTCCTGACAGTGACCTCTTCGAGGTGGGCAGCATTGACGATATCTACGGGGAGAATACTGGTCATATGATGGATCCAGGATGCTTTCTAACGGTGATAAAACGAAAGGAGATGATGCAATTCGATTCGTTGTTTATGATCAAAGTAGCAGAATCGAAGGGATTGTTCGGGTGTCCCAAAGTTGAGAAGCTGTCGAAGCACGAGTCGATCTACGAACGATCGCCCAGGAAAACTGTACAGACAAGCGCGAGGAAACACTCGAAGCGTGTCAAGGTTCGTTGAACCGTTTAAGGATGTATTGGCTATATAATCAATCCCAAGAGTTTATGCACTTTAGAAACGCATTTTTTAAAAAGAAATCAGACTTCAGAAGAACATTGCTAATAATAAACAACAAAAAAAAATTTTCGATTTTTCCGAGATTTTTCCAAGGGGTACCCCTTCAATTTCTTCCAAATTTTCGTTTTTGGTCAATAACTCCGAAACCGTTGGTCGTACGGGAAAATTGCATACGATCTTTCTTGTAGAGGATGACGAGATCTACAATTTCCATGTAAAAATTTTTCGCTAGCGTTGATAGTTTCCGAGTAATTTGCAAAAAACTGTTTTTTTGTTTTTCGTCAATAACTCGTTAACTATTAATGCTAGCGAAAAACTTTTATATGGAAATTGTAGATCTCGTCGTCCTCTACAAGAAAGGTCCTATACAATTTTCCCGTAGATTCAACGGTTTAGGAGTAATTAAGGAAAAATGAAATTTTTTCCCAAAAGTTCGCCGTTTCGACGCTGGGATGGTCGGATTTTGTCAACATCAATGAAATGCCAGATAATCATACGTAACTCGTTAAATATCGAAGTTATAAGGAAAACAACTTTTATTTGAAGCATTTCTTTTTAATTATAGGAAATGCGTTTTTCTAAGGTACATACACTTTTGGGATTGACTGTATAGCCAATACATCCTTAAGTCAATTATACAATAATCTTTAGATTACTATTGATTTATAGATCGAGATCGATCGACTTATGACTCACACTTATTCCTCCTTGTCAAGGAGTACTCAGGAGAATCCAATTTGTCCCCGGCACGAGCGATGCGCCAGTTGGGGAGAAACCGCGTTTCAGGTACAGGAAGGAGACGCGCTCGTCACCAGTTTCTTCATTAGCCCGTTCTCTCCCAAATTACGGAAACGACCGTTTAAGTTTGCTCGTCGCAAAAGAAAATCGATTAACCGAATAGCCAGTATAAAAATTCAACCGATACCTCATGTCGTTTAATCGATCAGCTCGTGGAAATTAATCTCACTTTCTGCTTTGGGTATACTTCTATTTGCATGATTAATATTTAGATAGACACGCGTGCCATTCATTGCACACAGGTATATGCTAAAGAATCGCGTTTCGAAGTCCCGTCGCCGACGAAAGCGTTGCGAAAGCAAAAAGAAAGCGTGAACCGTTTGAGTACTCCTGCTCGCGGGAACTCGTTACGACAGAAGGCAAGTAATATAGTAAACGATGATAGAGTCAGCCGATCATTCTTTTGGTTATTTGCGTCAGAGTAGAAATTACGAACGATACGTTCGATATTTTCTCCACCGTCGTCGCAATTCGACGCGCCCGTCTCGCAGACCACGTTGAAACGAGAGAAAACCTCGTCCATGCTGTCCAGCTTACTCAGCTTCGAACCTCTGTCATGGTAATATCTCCTAATTCCTTACCAGTAGACTTCAGATTTCATGAAAAAACATTTTAAACAATGAAGTTTCATTTGGATTTGCATAGAATTCACAGTCCACTTATTAATTACCCTTGTGAGTTTTTATTTCTGTTAAAACTTGTATAGTCAGGATTGGAATGACGGTATTTCCTCGAGTACGATTTTGACGTCGCCGATCTTGGCCAGGGCGCTACGTCCCGTCCCCTTAGACAACATCGACGTCTCCGATCACGAGGAAGAGAAGGTTCAGATGCGACCGAGAATGAGGCAACAATGCTGGACAACGCGAGTGTCCCGGCTGTTGCATCCAGCTGGCTCTCCGTCGAACGTACTCGACACGCTCCTCGACATCGCTTAAAATTTCTACCGCCTTTCAACAACTCTCGATCTTTTGGAGAAATGAAAATTTCTACGAGGAGAAGATCACGTTCGAAGTAGACTGGCTACAATAGAAAATAATTATGCTATTTGTGCTGTGTAAATCTTTGAATAAAATCACCGTCAGAGTTTGATACCATGTCTTATCTCTTACAACACATTTCTATATAGTCTGTTATAGTACATACATACATATTTATAACGAAGAATAATTATAAAAACGAGCGAAAATCTCTATGTGCGAATAATCATCTGAAATTGCAGTGGTAAAGAAAAATTGTATTACCTCTTTTTGATAGGTGTCAACAGACAAGCTCGATCGAAGTTAAGTCCACCGAGAGAAACGAGATGAGCTTGAATAATTTCCACTGTGATCGCAATTAAAACATAGAAGAATGTATCTCGCGAAATTGTTACGTCGTCACCCGAACCGACCATGCGTCTACTTTCAACCTTGCAGAAAAACTAGCAAAGAGATAACAGTGCAAACGGTAAAATTATTTCCGAACCATTAATACAAGAGATTCGTTGCTCATTGTATTAATTACTTTGATCAGAAATACGATTTGTACCGGTTGGAAACTGGACCATCGACGACCGTTAAGATGAAGGAAGAAGACGCACTATACGCGCTGAGGATTATGATGTATATTAGACGGATGGAGCTAAAGGCGGCTGAATTGTACAGATTGCGGATGATCAACGGCTTCCTTCATTTGTATTGCGGTCAGGTAGAATCTCTCTCGTCGGATAAAGTGACCGAGATGGAAGAAAAAAATCTAGGTTTGCTTAGGAAGCCGTTGCCGTCGGCGCTAGAATGTCGATGACGGATAAGGACCTAGTTATCACGGCTTATCGATGCCACGGTTTCGCGGTGGTATTTGGCGTGACGGCACGCCAGGTATTCGCGGAGATGATGGGCCGCAAGACTGGCATCGCGAAGGGCAAAGGTGGCTCGATGCACATGTATGCGAAACAGCTTTTTGGCGGCGAGGGAATCGTCGGCGGTCAAGTGAGTCCCTTATATGTTAATTAAATACTATAATTATTGCGAAATTCGAATGCCGAGAGTCCACATCCTTAGCTACAGTATTTTTATACGTATACTCACAGATTCTCATATTACACACACATGTCGTAGATTATCAGATTACATTTGAATTAGAACACAGAGTAAAATCTCTTTCGACAAAAGGTACCGGTGGCCGCAGGGTTGGCGTTGGCCTTGAAATACCACAGCACCGGTGGAGTGGCATTCGCGTTCTACGGGGACGGCGGCGCGAATCAAGGCCAGGCCGCCGAAGCTTTCAACATGGCTAAACTGTGGAATCTTCCAGTAGTGTTCACATGCGAAAACAACGTGTACGCGATGGGCACGGCAGTGCACAGGCACGCGGCAAATACGAACTTCTACACGCGGGGTGACCTGATCCCAGGAGTGAGGGTGAGTTTCACCAACGCTTTGTCTTTTCCTTTTGGTTTATCCTCTTCCTTTCAGGTAGACGGCATGAGGGTACAGGACGTACGCGAAGCCACAAGATTCGCCAGGGATTACGCGTTGAAGAACGGTCCTATTATTCTCGAAATGGTCACATACAGATATTTCGGTCACAGTATGAGCGACCCTGGAACCTCCTATCGTTCAAGGGATGAAATCCGAACGGTGCAGACCCAACGGGATCCTATCGACCTGTTCTCCAAACTATTGATCGAGCAGGGCATGAAAACCGATGCCGAAATCAAAGTAAATAACTGACAGATTAGATTAATAAATATACATAGAAAGATTGTAGATATATGAATAGTAATACTGGAATGATCTCTGAAATCATTGATAGGAAATACGAAACGCCACGCACAAGGCAGTGGACGAAGAAATGGAAGTAGCAAAAGCCGATCCGGTTTTAGATTTGTCAGACATCCCTACGTACTTATACGTGAAGCCGCTGGAAAAAGTGCGCGGGAAAATAGCTTGGGAAAACTTTTGAGAGGACTCGATTTTATTTATTATTTCACTTGTTTATATATTCCATTTATTTATCTTGTGTAATAATGAACACGTTGTTATGTACTTTTCCGTGTACTCGGGTGAAATAAACTTGTACACGTTTTAAACAGTCGAATTGAACCACGTAGAATAGACGCCGTGATATGATGTGGCATGCGAGAGTGACTACGTGTTTGTTTCTCGTTTCTTACATCGTCAATTGGTATGATCAATTAAAACATGCCGTGCTGCGTCAGATCGAGAGGAGGAGCGAAGGAGGATATGTGACAAGGATAGGAGATGGTGTAGAAGAGGATGCTAAGCAAAGTTAGTAAAGAGTGAGTCGTGAGTCAATCGCTCATAGGCGCATTCTGTGCATATGTACGTGGAAAGGAAACGATAGGAAAAGAGAGAGAGAGAGAGAAAGAAGTCGAGGCGACAGATTCCAGCGAGCAACAAGACAGACAGTCTCTGCGGGAGTCGCCCTCCTGCTCCCACGTGCCCTTGTTTCAATCTCAACGAGTTTAAATATCGAGGAACGATTTTACGCGTCTCTCCTCGAGAGACACACCTAAAATGTAATTCAGCTATCGCTTCACATTTGTGTGAACAGTGAAAAAATGTCGTAAGAGGTGTTACGCTTTTAAATAAGATAAAACGTCGTTTAGTAAATCGATAAATTCGGTTTGAGATGATTACATCGGAAGAGGCGGTCTAGCAGGTGAGTTTCGTGACGTCGAAAAAGTCGTCGGCCGTAAAAGGTCCAAGGATAACGTACGCGAGATGAATTTAGTTGACAAGACAGTAAAAACTGCGTTTCGTTCTTTTTTTTATTCGCCGTTGCCGCTATCTTATCAGTTTGCATCCTGGCAGAATTTTATTATGGATGTTCGCATACGCATAAATATTGTCCCACTGATAATCGTTACTAAATAACAATATCTCATTACCGGAAGGAAGGGGAGTGACAAATTAGATAAAAGATGGGATCTTATACAGAATTCACCGATATATTACGAGGTAAATATATTTTAAGTTTTGAATAACAAAATTATATATGGAAATTCTTATAAATGAGCAATTTTTAGATGTAGTGCAATTTTTGGAATGTCTCCGAGAGGTGAAGCTGCCGGTAAATTTGGAGAGCATTCGAGACAATTTGCTGATACGATCAAAAGTTACGCTGAAGACTTTTGTAGTGGACAAAACTGGGAGAGGAGTCTCGCCCGAACCGTATTTGAATATGAGCGCAGGGTCAAAGGGCTTGATAAGCTTGGAAACGGAGACGGAGCTACAAGAATACGTGGGAGCGGGGGAACATTGTCAAATGCAGAAGGAACATAAAGAATCACAGCAGGATTATTACGAAACCTTCCAGGGAATAGAACCACCGAATAATACCGATAACAACCAGAGTAAAGACGAAGAAACTGAGAATATGTTAATAAACACTTACTCGAGTTTCTCGGCTGTACTGGCCAAAAGCAAATGTCAAATATGCGGCTCTCTCTATAGGAAGGAAGGGAAGAAGTTGTTCGTTTTTGAACAATACCGCGCGTGTTGGGTTGGTGAGTCTCATTCCAATCGAATATTTTCACTTTAATACAAAATAATGAAATTTATTCGGAATTATTTAGCTTTGATCGGATCGCACTTATTAATTTATGGAAACGATCGAGACAATCGGCCGTATACAATTTTACCAATTCGGGGATACTCAGCTCGAGCTGCACCGAACGCGATTCCTCGAGATCAGCGTCGAAGCGAATCCACTTTCGAGATCTTCCGTCCTGGCAGCAGGACGTATCAGGTAAAATAAAATAATAGAGAAAGAGAAATAACGATACCATGTAAGATTTGATATTTCAGTTTTCTGCGAAGACTCAAAAAGAGATGGAACAGTGGATAACGAGAATTTGCGAACTGGCGGGAGAAGATAATAACGAGCAAAAGAAGAGTGTGGATAATGTTATCACGAGCAATGACACGCAGTTGAACAACCAAGAAGATTCAAATTGCACTGAGGAGCAGTATCAAGATGTAGGCTCGTTGAGTGTTGAGAAAGTTCCAAACGAGCCTTCGACTGTACACGTAAATGAAAATGTTCCAAACCAAACTGATTCCAAAGACCCTATCAACACTTCTCTTCCTTCTTCCTCCCCGATTTCCGATACTGGTATTGTTCCTTTTCCTTCTCGACCTCATCCAGGACGCTCTCATGCTCCTCCGTTGCCAGCTCGAATACCTCGAAGATTACCCTCGCTGCCTGTTCAAAAATCGTCTTACCAATTCCCGGAGGAAGACGAAGACGACATTTATCACAAGATCGAGGACTTTCGAAACGTAACGACACAATACGAAAACGTTGGTGTAGCTAAGACGAACGAACCAGAAACGTACGACGACGTTCAAGCGAGCATTAAGACTGATAAATCTGATGATAAGAAAAAGAACGACGCTAAAAGAACGTCGATAGATTCATCGAATGAAATAACTTACGACGATACAGGCAACACTGTTTTAAATCGAGTGGACGAACAAGACCAACTCGCATCGTACGACGACGTCGAGGTATTCAATTTCATTTATATTCTTCTTCGTTGAATTTCATAATCAATCTCTTTTTATAGAGTGTGAAAGAAAAATCAAATAAAATCCAAACGCCAAGCAAGACGGATGAGCCTGTAAAGTCGCCGCAAAAAAGATCATTCCTAGACAGAGTCAGAAGCAGAAGGGAGTCTCCGAAGAAAGTTGAGAAGAAATCTAAGCGCAAGACTGCACAGCCATCGGTTGTAGAAAATCAAGACCCGCAGCCACTTTACTACGACGATGTGTCTGATCTAGTGAGCGTTCATCAAGAGACCTGTCTCGATGAAGAACAGCCCGAGTATACCAGTCCACCACCGCCTAGACCGATCTACACGAAGCCACCGGTAATTACAGACACAACTGATGGACACGAATTTTACGACGACGTCGCCGCGCTTAGAGAGAAATCTAAAAATCCAGATCAGGTAAGAGTCTTATGGTATAAGTTCAGATGCATTCATATATTTTGTATACTCTTGCATTGCATATTAAAATCCGCAGTCTGTGCACTAATGTGTCTTGAATCTTTAGAAAGTTTCCAGGAAATTGAACTACGAAGACCCTGTTCACGCGAATGTGAACCGGCTCGTGAACGAGACGACTGATAATTCTCGAATGGAAGATAACGAGCATTACAAGACGCCTCGAATCGATTACCCTCAATGCCTTCCTGAGCTGGAAAACGAACTGTACGATGATATCGCTATACTCGCTGAATTCACGGTTCGGCAGAAGGAAGTTCTTGGTAAAAAGGACGTCGAAGGCGTGAACAACAATTCGGAGAAGAGACCGTGGAATAGATTTGTCAGCGGAAGGAAATCTAAACCGGCCGACGTGATCGTTGAAACTAATAATAAAATTGTGAACGGGGTCGAGGATTCGGTCGATAATCTCGAGCAACACGGTCCGACACGAATGAACACGTTTCAGAAATTAATCAGTAGGATGGAGAGTCTCGGTAAAGCGTCCGCTAGAACGGGATCGTCGATGCTTTCAACGAACAAAACGAATCTCACCAACAACGCTTAATATATAGTCGCACGAATATTCACAGACCAAAGAAATCAATATTTTAATATCAAATCTATATTGTAAGAATCTTTTATTTTTCGAAATAAATAATGATCTGTAAACATGATTTATATTCGTTACCTTTAATAGCCCTGAATGTGTATCCTCCTTGTTGCTCCTCCTGGGATGCTTATCTTGGAATGTCCGTCTCTGTTTTAAAACTTCTGTCGTAGGCGCGATACAAATCGTTGTAGACGTTATTTGCAGCCTGCTTCAAAGCGTCGAACGTATCTATACTGTGCTTTCGAAAATCCTTCAAACGCACACCCGTGTTGGCTTCGATGTAATTCACGAACGATTCTGCCTCTTTCACATATAGAGGAAGAATCACGATTATCAGTATAAATAAAAGGCCGAAGAAAAGAGACCATGCAAGAAGTGTGAGGAATCGATATCCACTCCCTGAAACATAAATAAAAGCATCATAAGCAAACGTTCAGTTTAATCGTTTAAATAAGTAACAAGTATAAATGTATATGTACCTCTAGATGCTTGTTCATTATTATCTTGATGATTATTATTTAACGTCGAAGGTTCCGTCGGAGGTTCACTTTCGTGGAACTCTTCATTCTGAGAATTAGTAATATCGCTATCTAAATCTTGTTTCTTATCTGCTACTTTCTTTTTCTTTTTTTTACCCCCCTTCTTTGCCGTGCTGTTCTTTTCTGTGTCCGCTGAAAGCACACAAACTATGTATCATCCGCTTAAACATTTGTATTCTCCATCTTGAAACATACCTGTATTTAGTTTTCGCAGTTTTTCCCCTACTTCTTCCATCATAACTTTCACTTGCGACAAATAGGCAACAATATTATGAGCACATGCTTGACACTCGCTCGAATTGCTACAAGGACCAGCAACGCTGGCCACAGCAGGAGTCAGAGGGTTCTCTTTTAAATCCAACCATCTCAAATTCTTTAATTCACTTAAACTAAGTGGCAATCTACTTATCTGGAAGATCAACATATTTTCATGACACATGAGAACTCAAGTTTGTAATATCTTTTACTTACTTGATTCCCATAAAGGTCTAAATGTTTTAATTGTCTCAATTCTCCAAAATTAACAGGTATCTCTGTTAACATGTTTCTACTGAGATCCAGTTTAACGATCTGCTTAAGTTGTACGAAATTCACCTGAAATATATTGTAATTAACAAAAAATATGTAGATTCAGGAAATATATGTAACTTACTGGTAAAGAAGTCAAAAGATTACTGGATAAATCCAAGTGTGTCGCTTTCTTGATAGTTGCCTGGAATATAAAAAATACACGCGAATGATTAAACAATTTCAATGCGAAGCGGCGCAGCGAGAACGTGAAAGTTTTCCATACGTACAATTTCTCGAACAGGCACTTCTTTCAGGTCACACAAGCTAAGGTCCAGCGTTTCATCTTTCAGTCTATTCTTAACACCTTTTAAATGCATTTCGATAGTGCAAAAAGTGTGAAATTCTTAAAACGTGTCGTGTTCGGCGTCACCTTTCACCACCAATTGCAGCAATATGTTTAAGATAAATGAAACGTATACATCAAAGGACAATGCGATAACACAAGTATTTCATCTGGGCGTATGGAAACACGAAAATATTATTTCAGTATTCATCGCATACACGTACATCCTTGATCTCAACAATTTTATATAAAAACCGCAAAATCTTGTAGATCGAGTGTATTACTTACGTGATAGCCGAGCACAAATATCAAACGGTCACGAATATTATTAATTTTCAAAATCTGTCGAACAATTTAGCAACTTTGCGGACTGCACGTCTGTTGGTAAAACTTGTTGAAAGGCATAAGCACAGCTACAACTTTGACTAGCTGTACGTGTAAGTTTCACCACGAGTGCAATATCACATCGACGTGTACGACTATGAGTCAGAGCATCTGTGTATGTCGATCCTTCTAATCAAATGATTATGGTTGATAAGCGTCTAGAGTCCAGGTAACAGTTACCAGTTATTGTGATACAATTGGATGAGGAAAATTGACAAGTGAGGAAGAGTTTTCGTAACAGCGATTTGTAATGAACGACGGACAGTATCGATCACGATTTACTTGATACTGATACTGATACCAGCTGATACTCCGATTCTGACCCTGGCCAAGGAATTCGTACGCCACGAGTGGTATCGCTTTTATGTTCAGATTCCTTTACTCTTTGAGGAGAAATTAATTGTTCCGTAATGTCTACACGGTATATGAAAAAAGTATACGGAGGCGATGTGTTACCTGTGAAGGATAGTGAAAATGAGGGTGAGATCGACAATTCAATAATTGGCGATGTTAAGTCCAAGGCGTTTAATTTGTTCGACGTGGTACGTATATACATGCATCTTGCTGTATCTCAATAAATAATTTAACCTATTGTTCATCCTCTTTTCGTTTAGTTAAATGAAAATTCCGAAATTAGCGAGAAAGAAAATGAAGAGGAACAGGCGATCGTGGAAACTTGCAGCGATGAGACTAAGCGTAAAAAGAAGAAGAAGAAGAGAAAGAAGTTGGAAGGAACGAAAACCCAACACACTGTTGAATCTAAGGAGAACGATATTGATGAGATTGAGGAAACAGTGAGAGAAGTGAACAAATTACTCGGAGAACCACTTCCAGGATGTAGCTCTCAAAATGCTAATAATGCTCAATGGGTCGAACATAGCTCGAAGGAGGGTATTCTAATGGTGCAACATAAACATTTGAATGCATATAACGAACTGAAAAGAATTTTTGGTAGTAAAACAGTACAAGCTGATCAAAGGTATGTTCTTTTTTTCCTTGGGATTGTGTTCTATGAACAAGTATACAATCCTAAATAATGTTAACCGTAATAGGAGAAACAGAGGCCGTTTGGGTCATCTGAGGAAGACCTGGTTGGTCTCTGCTAAAGACAGATGGTCACGTTTTACTAAATATGGCCTTTCGATGTCTTTGGATCATACTATGAAATCTACTAATAACATTCAGTACTTCGTGTATGAACACAGCCCATCGTACAGACAAGTGCAGATGAAATTTTTGGAAGCTGTTGAAAGTTTGAAAAGCCCTGAAAATATTGTTGTACGTCGCATTGCTTTATAAGTTGCACAGAGAGCATTGTTTGAAGGTAAATTAACTGCTTCAACTCTCGTTTTAGGCTATAGTCAATGCGCATCCTTATCATATAGATTCGTTGTTGCAACTGGCTGAATTGTGTAAACTCAACGAAGATTTAGCAATGGCTGCAGAATTCACGGAACGAGCTTTGTACTACCTTGAATGTGCTTTTCATCCATTGTTCAATATTACAACCGCTCATTGCAGATTGGATTATAGAAAGCAGCAAAATCGAGCTTTATTTATAACTTTGTTTAAACATCTTAACTTCCTCGGCGGACGTGCATGTTACAGGTAACAAAATCAATAACCTAATCTCCTTAGGTTTTTGATGCACACGCTTCGTATATTTGCATTTACAGAACGTGTTTGGAATTTTGTAAATTACTCTTGTCGCTCGACCCGGATACTGATCCTTTGGCCGTGGTCCTCTGTCTCGATTTTTACGCCCTAAGAGCAAAAGAATACGAGTGGTTCATCCAATTTTACAATTTATGGGCCAGCACGAGAAATTTGTTTCAATTACCAAATATAGCATACAGTTTGGCGCTGGCACATTTTCATTTAGGTGATAAAAAGTCTGCCGACGAACTGCTGCAAAATGCGTTAATAATGTTCCCGGGTGTACTTTTACCATTGATGGAGAAGTGCGGCATACAGTGCGATGAGAAGGTGCTTGAACGATTTCACGAACCTCCCCAGAAAATTCGGAAGCTCTCATACAAGAAGTAATATTTTCCAGGTACAAACCCATGAGTTCTTTAACATTAAAGCTGTATTTACGACCGCGCCGGCGTTGGAAAAGCTGCAGAATCTGTACATCGCGCGCACTAATTGTCTGTGGAAACATGCGGATCTTCTACCGTGGATACGTGAGAACGCACACATCGTGTTAAATCGTGTCGATGTGAAAGATTATTGCGTGAAATATTACGAGATAAAACGAGGCACGCGTTATCAAGGAAAACTGCCAAAAAGTATTCTACGGCATATTATACTGTCCGACATGAAAGACGTTACTATAAACGTACAAGAGGTACGTTCATTTCTACATTTAAGTCGCGTGAAGTATTCCGTTCTATAATCTCGTTTATCTACATACGCTGGTTCGTTATGTGAAATTACAGATACAAAATGACGGTTCCATTTTCTCACACGATCCTCTGCCACCTGCGGACAGTATCGATATTTACGAACGGCCCACTGTAAATATAGACACGGCTAGAACCGGCAATCTGTTCACCGTTTTCCTTTCGTCCATATTTTCTGGTTTTACAACCGGTAATTTGGACGGATTAAATCTATTGTAAGTATAAGATAATAAGCGCAAAAAAATTGAGTTATTGGGATACATCGTATGAATTTTTTAGCTACGATAACGACGATTAAACGTAAGCAGATCGCTGGCTCCAACGTGCTAATAAATCAGAGTACAGAAAATTTACTTTCCACTTGATAATATTAAACTGAAACCATACATGTATAGATACTTTTCAAATGTTAAGTACTTTTGTAAAAATATCATACGTTTCGTGTCAAGCAATATATTTCATGATTATTAATCGTAGATTTTTATTGTGATCGTCATAAACGTTATCATCGTTATTTTGAATGAATTAGTTTCGTATATTTGAAACTTGGTATACTCTGATCATATATACATACAAAATATGAGATTTTTCGTGTTATTTGTACGAACTTATAATTGTGATTATTTTTATGAAACCTTCGGAGCAATCGTTACGTATCCACTGAAAATTTGTAAATACATGAAATAATATATACGTGTATATAATATATATGTAATAAATACACTATATCGTTGCAATGCTTGTAACAAGATACTCTTTAATTATCCACGGCTTATAAATACATTACACACGATAATGCCGAATACATACTCTGTGTGTCTCATTAAAAAAGAATTAATGTTCAAATACTTATCTTATGTACAGATTCGTGTAACAGTCGTATTATTTGCTGTTAATTAGTTGTCCTCAAACTTCCGAGATTTCCTGTACCTTTACTAAACGTAAAAGCTACAGTATTTCAATAATAAGCATAAAAACCTGTTTTTGTGTGCGTTTACTCGTGTGATGCTGGGCGTTTCCTTTTAAATATTTCCATTAGTAATTGTATAATTAAAGACGCGCGTTTTACGGTATCAAACTTCAAGAGTGCAAGTAGTAGCAAATTGGAAAAGTTGTTGACATAACGTTTAGAGAGAGACCGTCAGTCCATGAAGTGTAATTCTTTTTTATACAGAACGTCACTTGTATTTTCATTCATCTTACACCATGCTATGAAACACGGGATTGTAGCGGCAAATTCCAGGACCGTATTCCTGGTAAGCCTTCTTCGTGTGGCAAACTTTGTAGAATTCTGGGTCACTGGCTAATAGAGCACCACCGTACCAAACCGCCCAGCGTTGCTTGTGATGCGATATCACGTGAACGTCTACAGGCTTCGGCTGAATAATAGAAATGATCAGTGATCCTGATACTGTCTTCTACCAAGATGCGAAATAAAGCTACCAACCGTGATAAGACTTCCGCTTAACAATTCGCTAACTTTTAATCGCGCGTCCACGATTCGTTTTATGTCACGTTGTAGCCGTCTGCCGAAGTCTTTGAACATCGTGGAGCCTCCCGATAGTACAATGTTATTATATAGTGGCCTCCTGACGTCTATCGGGCAGTTTTGGATCACGTCGTCCACGATCTCACTTAACGGTGTAGTGAAGTCTGGATTAGAGAACTGAACGACCCAACGGTAAAGTTAAACATGTATATAGAACGTTTTCATTGCATATTCTAATTCGGAGACTCACTTCAGGATGAAAAAATATTTCTGGCCCAAGGAACCTTTCGTAGCCAACGTCCACTGTGAAAGGTTGTTTTGTAATACTATTGATACCCTCGTATTTCTTTATTCTTGTAGGGTCAGTGTCGTATCTGGCAAACTCTTTCGAAATGTCAGGGCATATGTAGCAGTACTTTTCTTTTATCGCTTTAGCCGTTTCCAACGACTGCTCAGGTGGTATTCCAATTTCTCGTTCTCTTAATAAATTTTGAATGAAATAAGTAATATCGCGTCCAGCGATAGGAATGTGTTTTATACAGCTTCCTATAACGAAACCTTCTGCCTAAATAAACGAAACAAATCATTGGTACGTTGCGATTCATTAAAAATTGTGTTTTGTTCTTCCTTTACATACCACCGGTATCACATGTGTCACACCATCTCCACTGTCGACAACGACACCGGTCAAAGTCCTATCCTCTATTGGCTTAGACGTCCAAGAGGCAGCTATTGCTAATACTGCTTGTACAGCTATATAAAGACCTGGTACATTAAACGATTCAAACATTATTTCTGCAGTGTATTCCCTGTTCTCGGGAGTGTTCAACGGCGGTTCGGTAAGTAAAAAATAATGATCTTCCGGCTCTGCCCTAAGGTACTTGAAAATACATTGCTGCAGAAATTTTTCCATTAAGTCCCAGTCTTCCACTAATCCATGTCTGACTGGATACTAAGCAAAATGAAAAACAGTTTACGAAACATTTTGTCGGCCGATGGTACCGTCAATTGACAGGTCAACATACTTTCACGGAATAGCCAGTAGCTTCGAAAGCTTCATCTCCGATGTAGGCATCTAAATCCTCGACACCTTTGGTAATTCTCCTGGTATTGGTATCTCCCACTTTCGCAGTTTCTTTAATAGCAATTGCAGACGGTATCATAAGTTGAGGTTCTTTATTGCCTGCAAAACCTAATTTCGTATACCTGTCAAACGAAACGTTACAAACGTATTACGAACAAATCTGAATTATAAATAATGATATTGATTAAATACATTCATCGGTTTTTACGCGGATGCATAATTAAAGAAGTGAATCATTAATGCATGTGGAAGCCGGATGATGTATAATATTCCTCCATGCGTTTACACTCGTTACTCATTCTTTCAACTATTTACTTTTGTTCAGATGAATTTTTTAAATACGTACCCCGTACCCACGTCGATTACACATGCTGGGAGTCGGCCGAGCATCCTGATTTCTTTGTTAAAAGCGATTTTACTTTCAGTTTACGGGAATAAATTTTAACTATAACTCAAATTCAACGCGAAGTCATCCCAAATAACCACACCCCCCTTCAGAGATAAGGCGATGACTAACCATAGAGCATTGAAGCTCAATGCCATAGAGATAGTACCATCGCTGGTGAGGCGCCAGTGGCGCCGCGCCATGCGTTGAATAATAGCGGAATTCAGATATCAGTTTCCTTTCTCATTTGTTTCCCACTATTCCAGGATGTCGGGGATGTCCTGACAAATGACGAACGATCGGCATTGGATCGGCATGGTATAAAATAAATACGTTGATTTATTACTGATTTATTACTGATTTATTACTGATTTATTACTGATTTATTACTACGTGAGCCGTATGTGAGGTATAAGATTTTTTATCCGCTGTCAAAATTAATCTTATTTGATAGTGCTATTAATTTTATAATTTTTGTTCAATTCAGTGGAATGAAATCCATTCGACGTTATTCAAATTCTAGAAATCAACCACCTCCTTCACTGTGTTCAAACAAAATAATTACAAAAATGATAAACACGTTCATATTTATGGATTTGGAAACGACCGGATTAATTAAAGGAAGCTTGATGCCAAAAATCACAGAAATCTCACTGATCGCGGCATCGAGAAGTGGTATATGTAATGCTACAAATGCATTACCAAGAGTTTTGCAAAAGCTTGTTTTAGCTGTAAATCCAGAGAAACCCATCCCTAGAGTTGTACAGAATATGACAGGTACATTTACATGTAATGTATATGATCACTTGTATTAAGGAATTGACGTTTTAATTTCATTTGAAACGAATAATATTTACACGTGTTTTTTTATATATTTTATTACAGGTTTATCAAATGACCATTTGGATAAAGTTGAATGTTTTAACTCTGATGTATTTGACTTAATTATTAAGTTTTTAAAACGACAAACAGCACCAGTTTGCTTTGTAGCTTACAATGGAAATAGATTTGACTATCCAATACTTTTATCAGAACTTAAAACAATTGGCCAGGTATCATGATTTCTGATGAAACGTATCATAGATTGTAAGATTGGAAATAATTAAATTTTCTTTTACAGACTTTCAGTGAAGATATTTTAAGTATTGATATGATGTATATAGTTAAAGACTTTTGCTCACGTAAAACACGCTTGGAGTTGGACTATAATAATTTACTGAACGATGGGTATGACGAAGCTTTATCTATTGCATTGGACTCTACTCTGAAGCATGTCATGAAAATGGATTGTGATAATGATGCTTGTTCTAATGAAACTAGAGTAACTGTGGCTTCCTCCAACGATGTGAATAACAGTCCAGGAACTAGTTATGCCAAAAGAATGCAGGCAATCAATGAGAAGACGCCTGAAAGTCAAATTCTAAAGTCGCACAATAACAATGTACAAAACTGGAAGGCGAATACTGTAAGAAGGCAATTAAACTTTATATGTCCACCAAGTGATTTTAAACTAGGTACCGTTTTAAAGTACATTTGTGGTTTTGAACCTGAAAATGCACACAGTGCAGAAGGAGATTGTCTCAGTATGATACATTGTGCTATTGCAATGAAAGACTTTGCCCAAGAAGCTGATTTGAAAGCAGTACCCTTAATTAATTTTACCAAAGCGTGATATATTTTAGATGATATTTTTTTTATATTATGAACGTACTTCTTTATTTCTACGCGTATACTGGGTATTCGGCTAGTGGTGAAAAGAACTTAAGGAGCCATTCTGGAAGTCTGTCGTCAAAAGTGAAAAAAAGGTGTCTTTGAAACTGTTAGTTGTAAGTTATTAAAAATTTCTTCTGATCGTACGCGAACTCATATTGAATGGTATATCTTACACTTTTAGAGGCATATTGCATCTAAGAACCGAGTTCGCCAATTGAAATCTCGCATGCACTACAATTATTCTTGACTTTCGTCTATAACTTCTAAAATCGTTCCTTTTATTCACTAATAACCGAATACGCTGCTTATGTATATTTTATGATACATATTTTAAAAAATAACATATTCTATGATACATGTTTTAAAAGATTGCAAGTACCAAAAACACGTAAAAGTTAACTTCTATATTGATTAAAAGAGTTTGTTATTTTCATGTGTGATTACGTGTAAGTTAGGTATAACTGAGAAAGAAGATTGGACTGATATATAGTATATATTTATTAAAAATGTAAAATTGATACCTTTAAATTTGTTTGTAAGTATTCAAAAGTTTATAATAAAAGATGATAGTACAAAGGAGCTTACGATATATTTTTAAGAACTCACTGATTAAATTATGATATTATACATGTCCATCGTTGTTCACTCGTAGCTTCAGTTTCATCTGAAAGGTTTACTTTTTTATTGCAACTAATAATTTATTATGCTCGTGTGCTTACATACCTGCTGTCATCCCGTTCTTACTAGTTATTTCATATAAATCTCGTAGTTTTACTGTAATTTGAGCAGACGATAGTTTTCAATTTCAATTGATAAAGCTTATTAATTGATTCTAAATGTTTTCTCTTTTTATTAGTAATATTACCTTCAATGTATTTATCTCCACTTGAATGTGATTCGTCCGCTAATATTTTTAATTCATTTCTTGTTACTGCAATTATACAACAATCATAATTTTTATTTGTAAGTAGAAAAATTCTATTCAGATGTCAATCAAAGATTTGAAGCATTAGACTGACTATGATCAACAAAGCAAATATTTCGCTCATCGTTACGTTAGTTTGGGCATTATATATTATATAATTACAAACATAACTTACAGATATATTTAGCCAATATGAATGACTGCGACATAATATTTTTTCTAATATCCTTTATGATGTTATCAATACGATTAGCAATGTTATTCATTTCTAACGATCCACTCGCCTCCAGTAAATTGAAACTTGGATTCCAAAAATAGTCTATTCTACGACGCTTACATGCGTCCCTTAGCTCTATAAGCATCTGAAAACGTACATGGTACTTTACATACGTGTACATATATATAGGAATAAATACAGTTTTGTAGATGTAAGACATTACCTTATAAAAAAGGTATGTAAATGATGTTCTCTTCAAGGCTGTATTATCTAATTCTTGCAGTTTGTTAAGGAACACCGTCTCTATAAAATAGCTCTTCAAACATGCCCAGTTTTGAGTATCTCGTAATTTCTAAAAATCAAATGATGATGTACAACTGTTCAATGATATCAAAGTGTAAATACTGTCTCTTGAAGTACCTTCATCTGACGTATAACAGGTTTTAAATGACCATACATCGTAAGGATGTCTTTCTCCTGAAGGCTGAAAGCAAGTCTCCAGCTTAAAGAAGAACTGGCATCGTTCGATACTATTGGTACTGCAAACCACGGATTTTTCCGACACTAACCAATCGATAGATATTTAGAATAAATGTGAATATTTATTTAAATATAGGATATGAAGGATATAAACCTTTTCAAGCCAAGAGAAGTTCGTTATAAATAATTTAACTGCATTTATGTCAAAAGCTAATACAGGTACTAAATCAACGCTCATCTCTTCGGATGCTCCTGGTATATTTAATTTTATAGTAAATGCTGGACCACTCTTGTACGTCTTGTGTATTGCAACTTTTGCATAAAAGAATGATTCTTGGTTTACTGTCATATGGTGTTTGTCTCCATAAATCGGTAACTCATCAACAACTTTAGTCATAACTCCTTCTATCCAACTACGAAACTTGTCTGGGTTCAGAAGACCATCACTAATAAATTTATTGATTGACCTGAAGAACATAAAATAATAGCAACTTGAAATTATGTATTTAATTATAATAATTTATTTATATACTTAATCATGATAATTTATTACGTCTTCTCTTTATCCGAAAGCTTGTTAGACTTCTTCGAATTATATATGTTACTAGTATCGTTTATTTCTATTCGTATAAATCCTTCTCGTGGCGAATAGAACTTAATAGAAAAAAATATAAGTTAAACATTTCAATTCTTACCCTTATATAATTGTAATTAATAGGAAGTTCCAAAATTATATTTAAATCGAATTCATTTGGTGCTCCAACTTTTGTACCTTTATAAAAACTGCCACAAAATTTTATTTCTTTATACGCTTTCGCGAACAATTGATCCTTCGCTACCATACGTTCCGTTATGGTTTGAATTGCCTGTTAGATTAAATTGTAATGAAGATGTAAAAAAATATTAAAAATAAAAAATGATTCCGATGCCATGACATTTATTTAATTTAAGCAGAATTTTGATAACTATGTTCATATCCGATTACTGTAACTATACATGTAAACGTAAGAATTATAACAAACAATGATCTTAGAATTGAAATCGATCTTCAATTGAAATTCACAAGCATCGCAATTTCACGTTATCGAAATTCTACCTGCGATTTCGAACGTACCTGCCGTAAATAAACATTATTTCTTTTCACTTGTTCATCATTTAACGTTATAAACCTTTTGTTTATTAATTTAAATACCGCGTCGCTAGAAAGATGTTTCTCGGCATCTGCAGCCTGCACATACGAATAGTCATTGTATTAAAATGATAAATTTTTATACAGTTGGCATAAGACTACAAAACAATCTACAAACCATGATTGTTACAATATTTCCTCCTTTATTTATATATACACTTGTTTGATTATATATTGTCAAATATTATTCCAATGAGAATAGTCACTTCCTGGAATAAAATTACCTCATTCAAATATGAAATTCATTATTAAATGAAATTACATGTTATAACATTACATAAATATAATTCAAAAAATGAAGTCAAACAAGCTATTTCTTACACGATGACTTTTGAAATTCTGTATGTATGCAATTATTAACTTACGAAGTATTCCTAAATAATTCGCAAGTATGCAGCACGTTAAGTACACATGATCGTATCGATATCCGAATTAGTAAAACCACAGTTGCACGTTGCACGTTGCGCGTTGCACTGATGAAGTCCGCACAGCACCCACAGCACACTGCAGCACACTAATAATAAGAGCTTTGAAAGCATAGAGTGTAAACGTATAACAGGCGACTTGATATATACATACATATATGTAGTTCGCTTGCTTCTTATCAAGTGTTATTCGCGTATCAAGAAACATACGTGTGAGTGTGTGATTATAGTTTAAAACATGATAGGGGATTAAAGATATAAATCAGTTCATTGCAATAAGTATTGTTTGAGATCTGAGCGCAAGGTGAATTTTCTATGTAATATAACTTATTTCACCGTTTTTATTCTATCTATACAATTTCTCTGCACACACTATGAGCAAATTTAGATACATAATTCGTATTTAAATAACTTAATAGATTGACACTTTAAAAAAAGAGATCGCTTTTTTATATGATCGTCGCACAGTGTACCTGATTCGTATAATTAATGAAAAAATATGAAATTTATTTGGGTGTGGTAATGTCTAAAAACTTTTCGCAGACTAATCGCAATTTTCTTAAGACGTCCTTCCCGATTGCATCGCTCTTTTTCGTAATCTCGCTCAGTTCGCCGCACAGCTTGTTCACACATTCATCGAGCTCTTTCGTCATTAACGGACTTTCGTCAGAATTATCGACATGTCGATTCTCGAGTTTAGCGAGCTTCTCATTTCTTTCAAAAGCCTCATAGTTATCGCAAACGTGACGGATATCTCGGGAATGCACTACAACATGCCGCAAGTAACTTCGAACGTCCGCGAAGTCCCGAAGCTCGTAATAAGTCCTGTCGGATAGATAAGCGGGCAGCGAATCGCTTAGAGATGATTTTCTGGTAATAGCGCTGACTATTCTGGTAACTAAGTCGTCGTTTGGGCACATGTGAGTCACATAAACGAATGACTCCAGGGCTTCCTGCCGTACCCACGGATTCTCGTCTTCCAAAAGGCAACAGTTGAGCTCTGCCAAAGCGTTCGCCGTTCTGACTTCACAATTGTCAAAAGATTTAACGTTATTTCTTAAGTAATGCGAGGCCATCACTTTCACGTGCGGCGGACAGCATAATAGTGATGCTAAAATTGCTTCAAGAATCTGGAATCGTTCAATGTACTTGTAAAACGTTTTATAATTTATTAATTAATTGTAGATATTTTTCACATGAGGATTTTCGTACCGATGAAAGAGTATTCTTTTGAATTTTTTCGGGTTGCGTGACGCTGAATAATTTTAACATAAACTCCGATAATATGTCTAACTGCCTGTTTTCGAAAACTTCAATAGTGTTCGCGACAGAGTTCCATATTTGAGACAGCATGTCAGCAATATTCTTTTCTCCGAGATAATTAAGTTTTCCCATGAGAATCATTAACAGAGTCTTTTGACAAAAGAAAGATAATATTATGAAAATTTCTACAGCTATGCTCGTTTAAACTTACGAAACGATTCCAGTTTTGCACGGTCGGTTGCCGCTGCAATTCTATAAACGTGCTCGGGATTTCGTTCAATACGGACGCCAATCGAGTCTGTAAAACTGACTTCGTCTTCGGTGGTAAAAATCGAGCGACTTCCGTCCAGGATGGATTTTCGAGATCGTCGATCTCAATCATAAGATCATGTCTCGTGTCCTCTGACAGTAAACTATACAGTCTCCCTATTAAATTCTCTAATATGATCATCTCGAGACTGTTACGTCGTTTCATTAAAGCGGCGTGAACTTTCAACAGGTATTTAACGTGACTAGCGCACAATTCCGAAGATCCAATACTGAAAATATATGACGTTGTACTGACACTGAGTCTGATCAATTCATAGAAAGAGAATCTTAAAATGATATCGTGTATGCATATATCGTTTCCTTAAACAATTCTGGTATGCCGAGTAGTACCAAGAATTTATGCGATAAGTTCTAAGGGAAGCAAGCTTCAAGTGAAGGAGTAGTTGAGTATAAGGCGTATATAAAAACATGTTATCATGAGACATATTATCATGGTTTACAAACCGGGCGACAAAACACCAAGTATCAGCGCTGAGTAAAGAACTCCATAACTGACTTCCAAGTAAATGTTTCAACAGAATCAGTTCGATGGCGTAGAACCCCTCCGCAGGAATTTGGCTGATCAGACCACAAATTGATACCAACGTCGCTTCATACAGCGACGCGGATCTTTGCCTCTCTCCTATGTCGTGTACACCAGGCAATCTCGCTTCACCCACGCAAATCTCTTCCTGTACTGTTTTTCAAGATGCAAATATACATTTTCAAGTAATTTTTAATCTCAATGAATTTCAGGTCCAGAGTTTTCTTTTTTGCAATTGTACTCTTATTTTAAATTGACCATACGATTAAAACTGAGGCATCATTGAATATTTAATAAGAAATCCAGCGAAATACTCACTATAATTAATGTTAGTGAATGCAAGATCAATAATCGATTGATCACCTAAGGTCCACGTACAACTCTGCTCGTGTGACATACCGAGTAATTTGTTCATTATGCTAACAATTGACAAGTGATAGCCTAGCTTGTCGATATTTTCCCGAGTCCCATATTCAAAAAAGGCCTGAAGTACATCAGAGATAATTAGTATTTGCATATTCTGCAACCGGACGTAATAAACGAACCTGCTTGAAATCCGAAGATTTAAAAGTAGTATTTAAAAACGCATCCGCGCCCTTTGAGATGTGAACGTTTATTACTTCGATCAACTTATCGTCAAACTGATCTTTTTGCAAACATAGTGGAGAACACCTAATTGTAATACAGACTTTAGAAAATTTTTTAATAAAACACAAGCAGATAAAAAACAAAATAATGATTGAATACCTGAAGATTTTTAACAAGAGGTCGATTACGCATTCCAGAATTTCATTATTAATGTACGAACAATAGGCTGTTAATAATTTGTCTAAAATTTTTAGCGAGAAACCAACAACTCTTATCTTTTTTTCATCGATCTGAGCTGACGTATCCTAAATGAA